CCCGCCTTAAATTGACTATGGCCCAGGGCCGACTCCCTAAATTAAAAATATAATTATTTTTACCAAATTATTAAAAATGCGACAATGCACATTGAAATACATCTATTGTGATTAAAACTCGGTAATACAATTACTATCATAATAATTAATTTTTATATTCGTGGACAGCGTCATCTGAAAAAGATATAACAAATACCTATTTTATAGACAATAATAATAAAAGTATCAAAAAAATATTTTATATTGAATTTTTTAATATTAATATAAGTAATTATAATAGGTACTGTATTATTAATATTTTCTACTCGTATGACATGTAATTCTTTAAAAAATTTGAGTTTGTTGAGAAATTATAGTTAATTTAAAAAAAAAATCAATTATCAGTATTATTTTTGATTAGTTTTCAGGTATAAATTAATTTTTGTTAATAGAAATTGAGAAATTTAATCAGCTTATATTCTAAATATGTAGGTAGATATATTTTTCATAGCGTGAAAAATGTATTCCAAAATAGCGAACATATAGATAATTCTATGTTATTATTTTTTTTTAATCAGATTCTTTTTCTTTTTTTATTACTGGAATGGGTATACTTGTTGTGAAAACAATTTTTTTAACCAACTACCAGCTAAAAGTAAATTATAAATTAATACGATTATTTGTATGACATACTGCCTGGAGGTGAGTGAGAGAGAAGAAGCCTCTTACAAGTATTTCATTGGGAAATATTATGGAAAATGATAAAAGGGCCGACAATTACTAGCCCCCTAGTAGACATTTTCTGGCTACGTGCCTGCTATGACAAATCAAATAACATGTTTAAAACGCATTCAGAGTATGGGTATTAGACATGCGTTTGTATATGTTTATTTGTTACGATTTCCTTTATTAATGATTTCTGCGAAAAATGCAAAAACTTTCGACACCGACGTCGAAAAATACGTATAATATCTTTTCAAAAAAAAAAAAAAACATTATTGTAATCGTGAGGGACGTGGTAAAATGCAATTGTTTCGCGAATATCGGTAAACTTATTATCTCAAGTGACAATATATTCATGATGAAAAATGTTTAGGTTACAATCCGTGGGCGTTCGATGTGATCTTAGCCATTCGATTCCGTACGAAAATAATTTTTTTAATTCGAAGGGCGCTCGTGAAAGGAGATGGGGTAAAAGTATCATAATATTTATAGTTCGGTATTTAGTAGGCAAATTCAGTAACGTCACTACCATTAAATAATAGTATTAATAATAGAAGTGAATAATTTAATAATTGAAAATCTACCACCCATCCCGATCAAGGGCGTATACACGTTGGGAGGCGGAGGGTAGGATATAGTCGTTTGCATAGCCAATTTTTTTGTACCATAAATATAGATAGCTATTTCGTTGGACGTTTTAGGCGGAAATGCTAGACCACTGAATTCTGTACACGGAACAATCACTCAACCGATAACCGATATTACTGCGAATGAAGTTCTAGACAAACTTTCCAAAAAAACCGAAACAAAACCAGACTTCATAATTTAACGTCCTCCGCGGCCTAAAAAATGAAAACGATGAAAGTGGCATTTAAATAGCCTGAGAAACTTCGCGCCATGGATAGGCCACTATTGTAAGTGGAAGGTTTAAATGGTACGGGTAATTTGATTATTTGTACCGATCATAAAAACGATTCTGACCGTCGATAAACTCGGTAAGGTTATAGTTTATATATTATGTAGCTAATATTTTTTGTTATCGGCATGATCGTATATCTAGAGTCCCCTTAGGCGTTTCGCGCCACTTTAAGCCGGTATTAAACGGCGTGTATTTAAACCGTACGGGCGCTCGTACGAAAAATAAAAAACATCGTTTTCGGCAATATCTCGGCTGCTCGAAAAACTTGGCTCGTTTAGATATGGAAACGGGCGGGAGGGACAGTTCTTCTATATACATACTTGGCACTACTACAATGAAAAGTTTTTCGGAGACATTATTAGGTAAAAACTGGTGACGGGATGATATATAGAAGTAGTTGTGATCTGCAGGGTGCTCGCCCCGCACTCCGTCGAAGATGGTTTTTTTTTACTTTTTTTTTTTTAATGGATCTTTTAGACTCTTATCGTAGCGGTCCATACCGACAGGTCCCGTTATTTTTTTTTCTCTTTATGCGTTGCCATATGATGCCCATCACGAAATATACCAGCTGCACGCAGACGGGATTTTAGGGGGAGGTTTCAATTTTCGAGTGTCCGACGACGGCATTCGAATTTACCGATTTCGTCCGACAATAGAATATTATATTACTGCGCATACAATACGGCACAACAACAATGTATGCGCAAAAACGATGCGAAATTATGTTACCACGAGGGGTTGTGATGTTGGGTTTCAAAGCGTGCCACATATTTGTTCAATACAAATATTTTGCGATTGAATAAATAATATACCTATATGCCGGCAAAAAAGAGAATACTAGTGAAAGCGGAAAATATTTTCGGTTAATTTCGCTACTTTAAAAGGATATGCGTAGGGAGAGGAAAGTAAAAGGAATTGAATGCTGGGGGTTATTGAATAAACAAACATATGTCAGATGGGGCGAGTTCGACGTTACCTACGGCCACGTTTTGACATACCGTTACTTATTTGTATATCCTAAAATCGATGTTCTCTTCAGTGGCCACTGCGATTTATGATATAAAGGTTGGAAGTCGGCCCATGCAGCCATGCCCAGTAAACTTATTACGAAAATCATCTGTTGGACTAAAGACGCTAACAGTGGAATTATTTTGATTTATCAACGCGATTTACGGTAATAATAACTTAAGTTATTCGTCTTTATCGATAATTGGGCGACAATTTTATCATTTAAATTATATTACATTCTAATATTATCATTCATAATTAAATAAGAAAATAATATTTAAAAACAATTTTTCAAGATTACTAAAAACTCGAGTTACATAATATTAATAAAATCGTTTTGTTTTGTTCGTTTTAATTTTATTAAAAATCTAAAAAGTCTTCTGGTTAGTAAACGTTTTTACAAGGATAATATTACTCATGCCTACGTCCTACACGCTTATATTACACTCTTCTAGTGTACTGTTAATAATATATAGTTTAGTATATCCTAAATTGTTTTTACTAGGTTTGTGTTATACGTGTGTCACGTGTTCGAACACTGTATGTTTGAACGTCGAGTGTTCGAAAGATCATATATATATATTCGAAAGTTTTTAATTTCTACTGATTTTATATAATCAAATTCAAATTTAACACATTCATTACAATGACCCTTTTTTTAAATTGACATTACAAATATTTCGTGCAAATATAATCGTGTAACCACCTCGATTTACTGAATTTTCAACGCGTCCTACCTAGCAGCTAAAAAGACCATTTCTCGTCATGAGGAATACCTTAAAACAAAATAAAACAATATTTCTTTGGTCCAGGGGGAAAAAAAGGCTTAAGTGAATTTTGCGTTATTTTCAATTCAAGCTAATCAAATTTTGAACATACATGCACTTACATACATAATAAAGTTGAGGTTCTCACAAACCGGAGCGGCGGATGCGGCGGCAGCGACATTTCTCCGGTAACGGGACAAAACAAAATATCGCTGACATAACCTAACCACCAAAGCGAAATATTTTCAGTGAACTCGCGCGGTAATAAGTTAAATCACCTATAACAAACTACCTACTGCAGGCTATCTTTTGCTTACATAGTACCGTAGTAGTAGATATTATTTATTTCAGATTCTAACATGATGGTCACCGCTATGATTCTATTGTACTGCGTCCCACGCGTTCCACTGCAAACAAATAGTAAACGTACGCTTACGTTTCTGAACAATTAGCCGAGGCACTCCGTTCCCCTGCGTGCCACCTAAATTCGAACACTGAACCATGAGGTCTCTCGTTTTAATACACGAAAACAAGTTTCGCTGCCGCTCTGGTTCGCGAGCATCTGTATACGAATACACTACGTGCAATACGATCGCCAACGATTTATTAACGAACCCCGTGACCAGCTGCTGCTCAGATGAAAATCAACCGACTCAGTAAGAAATGTGTAAACGAAGCTTATTGATTGTATTGTAATAATAATAATAATAATAACAATTGATTGTGTAGTGTACGGTGTTCTAATACGTACACTACCCCATCGATTCCACGGCGAATTCGCACTAATATTTCGCAACGATTCCCGGTCCGCGGCAGTCGGCAGCGCACCGCGTGCGCAAAATTAACCGGCGCCTGTATTTCCGTCGAGTGCTCTCCAATATGCAGGCGATTGATTGACCGGGCCGGGCACCGCCCCCGCTCATTACCGACGGAAATCGCAACGACCGGCCGAATTATTTCCGCAGCACTCCGGCCGATCGGAATTCGGGATTTTCAAACACGGCGGCCGGCCGGCTCGCAAATAGATCCCGTCGACGTTTGTAATTGAACGTAACGAGCGGGCGGGTACAGTAACGGTTCGCGGACGTCAAAGGCGACCGATCGGATCAGACATTTCGGGCGGCCGCCGAAAACACGGTAAACTGGTTCGCGTGTCCTTGTTAATAACGTCGCCGCGCGGCTTGTCGCAGCGCGTTTGACCGATCATTTAGTGCCGACCGATCGCTTTAACCTAACCTTTTTTTTTGTGGTATCGCTAACTAGGGGAGGAACTGCGTGAGCATTACTTCTCCCCTAGCTAACATCATTTATTCCGCATCAAAACAATTTATTAATAAACAAAAAACATATTGGTTATGAACCAGGACAATGACCTGACCCAGTGATCCTACCGGTTACATAAAAGATATTTCTTAAAACTAACAAAATAAAACATATAACATTGTCAGCAAATGCTTGCCCGGATTTCGATGCCCTTGGAATCACGTGCCGAAATGTCCTCTTCATGAGCCGTTCAAGACCGCCGCTCTTGCCTTCACGTAACGGTCGACGCCATCCTCCTCTTCCTATATCTGGTGTTCCGTTGTTAATTGAAATGCACCGTCTTATGCATTTCTTACGACTCGCTCCTCAGCCTGCCTCCGTCTCTCCAGCTCCTCTTTCGCTGAGAGGATTATATGCATCATGGTGTACAGACTCTCGGCGGCCTTTTGCGCAGCATCCATAATCCGAGATGCCTGAGGGTTATCCTGGAAGATGACAGGCTCCGGTCCACACAGGATCTCGGACATGTCCTCTACCCTGAGGGACCTGCCCCCGACAAACCGGACAACGTCTGCCATCTCTCGATCCCAGTGGGAGCAATGGAGCAGCGTGTGCTCCGCTGTGTCCTGCTCGTCGTCGCACAGCAGGCAGCGCGGGCTGGCCGCCCTGTTTCTTTTGTATAAATAGACCTGGAAGCAACCGTGTCCCGTTAGCGCCTCCGTCGCTTGGAACGTTATGGGGACACGGACTCTCCTGTTCAGCCAGCGCTCCGGGTTTGGGAGTACCTGCCTTGTCCACGCTGCCCTGCTGGTGCCCCGACAACGCTCGCACCACTCAGCGATTGTCCGCGCTCTTTCCTCCGCCACCGCTGACCTCTTCCGAATCTGACACCTACTGCCTCGGCACCGTTCTGAAATCCGCCAGCGTTCCCTGGCCAGTAGGTCCACCGGGGGAATTTCCGCCAGCATCAGCGCCGCATCGACCGACACCGTCCTATACGCGCGCACGATCCTCAAAGCCATCCTACGTTGCTGCCTCCCAATCCTGACGCGGTTCCTCTCCGTTGACATTGCCTCCTCGGCCCACACACTCGCCCCGTACAACAGCTTGCTGTGCACCACCGAGGTTAGCAATTTCCTCTTGGCGGTGCTCGGCCCACCCGTGTTTACCATCAACGAACCCAGCGCCCCCTCAGGTACCGCGGGACCCTCTTCTCTTCCAACGCCCTGTCTATCTCCCTCCACGGTGCTGTGTTAAATGCGTTCTTCACGTCAAGCGAGATCACGGCGCATAAGTCTCTGTTCTGGACCGCGCCCCTCGCCGCCTCCTTAGCTGCCGCAATGACACTCATAATAGCGTCCTCCGTCGAACGACCGGCCCGGAAACCAAATTGATTCTCCGACCTGCCGTTCGGAACGCTATCGAGATGCCCGTTAAGCCTCTGTAATAAAATCCTCTCGTACAGTTTTGCAATGGTGTTGAGCAAGCTCAGCGGCCTGTAGCTTGCTGGGTCCTCGTGCGGTTTCCCGGCCCCTTTGTAGAGGAGCACCAGCTTGGCCTTCTTCCACTCCCGCGGAAAGACCCCTTCTCCGAGACACTTGTTGAAAACTTCCAGGACCTCCCCGGGAATTTGGTCCACGACCGCCTTCAGCAGTTCGTTTGGGATGCCGTCCGGGCCCGCTGCCTTCTTCGACGGCAAACGCCTAGCAGCGATCATCAGCTCCTCCATGGTTACTGGGGCAGCCGCTTGCCCATCCTCTCCTTCGATGTTATCGGGTATACGTCCCCAGTTAATTGTTGGGTGAACCGGGAAAAGGTGGTCGGCGATCAGCATTTTATTGCCTCTCGCCTCGACACCAGGTGGATTCCGTCTCAGCTTCTTGGTCACCAACTTGTAAGGTAGGCCCCAGGGATCGTCGTCCACTGACTTGCACAGATCTCTCCAGCACCTCTCCTGTGCCATGCGGATTGACAGCTTCAGTTCCTTCCGCCTGGACTTAAACTCCGCGTTGAGTGCCGCGGCGCTGTCTACTTCGCCCCGTCTCGCCGCCCGTTGGTAGCTCCGCCTCACCGCCAAACAGCCTCTCCTCATCTCAGCGATTTCTTCCGACCACCAGTGTACCGGCTTCCTCTTGCCTCTCTGCCGAGATCTGCGTGGCATACAGCTGTCCCCCGCTTCTACCAGTAGTTGTGACAGGAGACTTACTGCCTCGGTCGGTGAAGCCTCACGAATCGTGGACAGGTTCTGCCTGCCACGGAGGAAGTCCACGAGTTTCCTTTGATCCAACTTGTTCCTCGCCCATCCTGCGCTGAACGGAGGTTGCTGCGTGTCGCCGACAGAATGAACGCCGTTCGGAATCACCCGGAAATGAATGTATTGATGGTCGCTATCCGTGAAGTTATCCAGTACCGCCCAATCCCGTACCTGGTTCCCTCGGTTAAACGTCACATCTATAACCGACTCCGCGTTCCACCTCCGAAACGTAGGCCGATCTCCCACGTTCGCTACGTTTAGGCCCATGCTCGATGCCATGTCCGCCAGGAGTTCTCCCCGGCCGTCCTCGGTTGCTGAGCCCCAGTCAAACGACTTAGCATTAAAGTCGCCTCCAACCACCAGGCTACACGCTCAGCCCGTCTGACGCAAGGAATCCTCCAGTCCGCCTAGCGCCTCCCTAAATTCGTCCATTGGGGAATTAGGAGAAAAATAGCAACTATAGACCACGAGATCTCCAAACTTGGCCCATGCGTATCCAGGGCCCGTGCCTCTGTCGTCGAACACCCTGGTCTCGTCGTCGGGGGGACTCCTAGGCAGCTCTGAGGCCAACCTAACCTTTTTTTTTTTTTTTTTTTTTTTTTTTTTTTATTGGTATCGCAGCAGGAGGGGGCCCTGCTTAACGCATTACTGCCCCTCCAGCCACATCGTTTATTAAAACTAATCAACAAATTTGATAATACAATTAATAAAAACAATCGAAATCCCGTAACCCCCTTACGCGGGGGGTGGGCTCACAGTATTAAAAAGAAAATATGATACAATATATATATATATATGTTCAATGTGTAATCGAAAACCTTCACCCTCTTCTCGAGCCGTCAACCGACCGACCGCCGCTCTAGACCACTCGTTCTGGCCTCCTCCTCCTTCTTTCAGCCCGTTGGCGGTCACGCTCGAGCGCCTCCTTCCTGCCCAGGACCGCTTCAACGAACGTCTGGAAGGCGTCCGTCACGGACTGGGCGGCTGCCAAAATCCTCTTGATCCTCCCAGGATCTTCGGGCAGCAGAGCCGGATCGGGACCGCACACCATCTCGGTAATATCGGCGACACCGAAGGTCCCGACCCGGGCGGACCGCGCCAGGACGGACCTCTCCTGCTCCCAGAACGCGCACTCCAGCAGAGTGTGCTCCACGGTGTCTTCCGCTCCCACACCGCACAACAGACACAAGGGGGTAACCGCTCTGCCCCTGCGGTGCAGGTAGTCTTCAAAACAACCGTGTCCCGTCAGCGCCTGGGTCAGGTGGAATGTCAGCCGGACGACGACCGTCCGACCGAGCCACCTGCCCAAGTCGGGGATGAGCCGTCTCGTCCACTCCGCCTTCGTGCACGTCCTCCATCTNTTTTTTTTTTTTATGGTATCGCAGCAGGAGGGGGCCCTGCTTAGCGCATTACTGCCCCTCCAGCCACATCGTTTATTAAATAAATCAACTACAATTTCATACAATTAATGAAACCAAAAATCCCGTAACCCCCTTACGCGGGGGGGTGGGCTCACAGTATTAAAATAAAATTATACAATATATATGTTCAAGTGTGATAGAACCTTCACCCTCTTCACGAGCCGTCAACCGACCGACCGCCGCTCTAGACCACTCGCCTCCTCCTCCTTCTTTCTGCCCGTTGGCGGTCACGCTCGAGCGCCTCCTTCCTGCCCAGGACCGCTTCAACGAACTTCTGGAAGGCGTCCGTCACGGACTGGGCGGCTGCCAAAATCCTCTTGATCCTCCCAGGATCTTCGGGCAGCAGAGCCGGATCGGGACCGCACACCATCTCAGTCATATCGGCGACACCGAAGGTCCCGACCCGGGCGGACCGCGCCAGGACGGACCTCTCCTGCTCCCAGAACCTAACCTAACCTAACCTTTTTTTTTCACTGTAAATCGATGACCGGGCGGGAACTGCGTCAACAATACTTCCGCACGGCCACCATCATTTATTTGACATCAACAATATAATTACAACTATAATAATAACAACTTAATAATAAATACAACTATAACAGCATAACACAATTGTAGGCTTCTGCTGGCGCTCGACACCTCTGTAACAATGGTCCCGCTTCTCGGACCGGCGATGCCCGCCACCCTGGAAGTCGCGTACCCGTCTATCCTCTTCACAGGCCGTCAATGCCCGCCACCCTCGAAATCACGTACATAAACGTTTCCTGGCTTGGGAACATTCCCAAACCAGAAACCAGTGGCGTCAGATATGTGGATCCAACGCCACTGGCCGCCCGCCCGCCCGACGCCATAATTCTAAGGACGGTGTCGGTGGCGCCTCCGACAGCTACGATGGTCGTCGTACTACCGTCCTTAGTCAGTCTGCAACTGGAGTGGCTGCAGCTAGATCACTGCGGCCCGTTCTTCTGCCTGGCGTCCCCTCTTCAGCTTCTCCTTTTCTTGCATAATGGAGTGGCACATATCCACAAAGCAGTCACATAATGCCTGCGCTGCCTTAACTATTTGAACACCCCCTTGAGGTGGAAGGTCTACTCTTGGAGGTCCACAGATAATCTCCCTAATGAGATCAACGCTGAGTTGCCCGCCATTGATCATCCTCAATAACGGAACCCTTTCTTCATTCCAGTAAGGGCAGTCCACAATGGTGTGCTCAACCGAGTCCTCAACATGACCACAGAGCAGACACTCCGGGCTGCCCGCCAGCCCCATCCGGTATAGGTACGCCTGGAAGCAGCCATGGCCCGTCAGCACCTGCGTTAAGTGGTAGGTAGGGGTAACCTTGATGACCCTAGTCAGCCACCCCGCTAGGTCCGGAATCAGGTACCTGGTCCATGCTGCTTTCTCCGTCCGCTGCCAGCGAGCATCCCATTCAGTGATTGTAACCCCCCTTTCTGCAGCCTTGATCGCCCTTACACCCATTCCAATTGCGTCCTTGCTTAGAGCGATCGCTACCCGTCCGCGCTCAGAAGCCAACAGATCTATTGGGGGCAGCTCCGCAAGCACCATGGCTGCCTGGTCAGAAACTGTTCTGTAGGCCCGAATAACCCTCAGGGCCACCCTGCGTTGTTGGCGATTTGCTACGCCTCTATTCCTCTCGCTGGAAAACGCAGTGTCGGCCCAAATCGGAGCGGCGTACAGCAGCTTGCTCTGCACCACCGTTCCCAGGAGTCTTCTTTTACCCGCACTCGGCCCGCTAACGTTCGGCATCAGCCGACAGATGGCCATAGCCGTTTCCGCCGCCGCCTTAGCAACCCTTCCTACATGTCCCGTGAACGTGAGCCTCTGGTCAATTTCTACACCTAGGTACCTGACCGACCGACTGAACTCAACCGGCTGGCCCTCAATGAGTAGTTCCGGCAGGGTGTACACAATTTTCTTGGTCAGGAGCACCGCGACCGTCTTGTGCGCAGCAAGCTTAAGCCCGTTATCCCGCATCCAACGAGCAACCCTATCAAGGGCTGGGTTCAGGATCTGGGCGAGCAGCTCTCCGGTGTGCGCCACCCCCACTACCGCCACATCGTCAGCAAACGCCACCAACTCGATTCCAGATGGCATCTCCAGATCCAGAAGCGAGTCGTAGAATACATTCCACAGTGTCGGACCAAGGACCGACCCCTGCGGAACACCACACGTCACTTCCTTAAAAACCCTCCGCTCACCGACAACAATCATCNGAGCTCGACTAGGTAACTAGGTACCTGCTTCCTGCGGAGAGCACCATCTATCTTCTCCCATGGCGCCGAATTAAACGCGTTTCTGACGTCCAGAGAGACCATCGCGCACAGGTGCCTATTTTGTGCTGCACCTCTCGCTGCTTCCCTAGCTAGTCCCAACACTCGTGAGATAGCTCCCGCAGTCGAGCGTCCCCTCCTGAAGCCAAACTGTCTCTGGTTCAGTCCCAGTCCCGGGGTATTAAGATGGACTACCAGTCGCCCTAGGATCAACCTCTCGAATAACTTGCCTGCCGCGTTGAGCAGGCTCAGAGGCCTGAAGCTCGATGCCTCGCTCGGTGGTTTTCCAGGCCCTTTGTGTAGCAAGACAAGTTTGGCTCTCTTCCAGATAGAGGGGAATACCTTACTCCTCAGGCATAAGTTGAACACCCCCTGAAGTAGCGAAGGCTTGAGGCGAGAAACTTGCTGAAGAACCTCGTTCGGAATTCCATCAGGACCTGGGGCTTTACCACTAGGTAAAGTCTTAGGTAGATCTAAAAAAATTGCCATTGATTTTTTGCTATTGTCAAGCGCATTATATATGTATTTACTAGCATTGTACAATACATTTTTTGTACCCAGCCCGGGTCTAAAATCAAACTGATTTTTAGACAACAAATTATTCTTTTCCAAAAACTCTACTAATCTAGACTTTATTATTTTTCTCTAATATTTTTGCGAAATTGCTTATCATCGAAATATAAATATAAAGCTATATAATTTGTATCTGATAGCAACAATACATCATTGCTAACGAAAAACGATTCTGAACAAAGTTCGTTTAGACATGATTTGTAAGGTCGTAATATTTGTGATTTTCTTCAAAATTTGATCTTTAAATAAATAAAAAATTACTATAAACGGTTTTTTTTTTACCACTCAGTACCTACAACTTATACTGATTCTCCTGTTAAGTTGTCAAGCATTTATGTTTGGTCAAACAGTGATTTCTATATAATACCTAGTACCTACCAAATAAAAACTACGAAAAAAACTTACAAACATAAGATGCTTATAAATAGCTCAAAAATAGCATAAATATTTTGAAAATATTTTTACTTAAATTACAACGAAAAAAATATTTAAAATAATAAACCATTAATTTCGTAAACTATCCCGTTTGTTTCTACGTTTTTCGGTTTTGCTTAGTTATTAAAAAAAAAAAAAAAAAAAACATAAAAAACGACTTTCTTATTCACTAACTAAATTCAAAATTTACCAAAAAAGGTCTCTTGGCATGTTTTGATTAAATCAACATTTCTGGTAGGAAACATTGTACGTACAAATTTAAAACAATGAAATGGTAACACTGCGGCGCACTTTTCCATTTTTTCTATTGTTTTAAAAAACCCTTGGAAAATCCAAAAATGGCATGTTAAATGTATCAATTAGATAAAATTTCCTTTCAGAAAAGGTGTTACACTTGATACATCGAAACAAGTTTTCTGTTCGAAAAGTTGTTTACAGGCGGAAAAAAAAGTATACAACACAATAAAATCTGCAGATCTCTTGCTGTACTCTGAGTCTAAAATCTAAAAAGAGGAGATTGTTTTCTAGGACTGTAAATGTTGCTGTTTTTCAAAAATGTCATACAAAAAAGTTACAGAATTTTCAGTGATGTCTTTTTTTTACATATATATATATAAACAATTCCTGTAAGTTTTTTATTATCTTTGAAACACAGTTACGAACTGCCCTTGAAAAAACTCTTCTTTTTAGAATTTGTTATCAGTGTTTAAACTCATATTTCAACCTAAATATACAAATGTACTATAGGTTCTACGTAGCTTAATTTTGACGACCTTTTAATAATGTTATTTTAAAAAGATGAGTAAACAATTTGAAAACAACCTGGGGGATGTATAGCTTAAAATAACATTTGATTGTCTTCGTGTTGAAAAAAACATTTAAAAACAAATCATAAATTACATTTTGTTACTGACGAACGACGAACTTACTTTATGACGGTGTAAAAGAGACTGATAAATCCCTTGATTGGTATGTGCAAATATTTCCACGATCTCGTTCTCATCTAGAACGTTAGAATACAATACAAATATTGTTGGTACGTCGTTTCGTGCAAATATTATAATTAAGTTTTTATTTTTTTAACATAATACCTCGAGCGAATGGCGTTTTGCAAGGTAAAACATATTGTCGTTAGAAAGCTGCGACGTACTTAAATACAACACGGAGGTCCGTTAAAATAACATATCGATCATCGTTTTGAACGGTGGCTGATGGCCGACAGAAAGGGAAAACAAATCCGTATAGATTATGAAATCGCTTCAAAAGAATAAGTAAATAATAATAATAATAATCCGTTATGCTTTCGCATATGTTTAAGAGATCTCGTCTAAATAAGTGAGGCGAGTGAGGCGCTGCTTCATACGTAATTTTCTTATTAGTTTAAATTACCCTTACTATATAGTTTATGCAAAATCTCAAAACTAATTTCTTTCAAAACATAATAGATAAATACATGAATATTGATTGATTTTAGAACAATATATGTACTATGAGTATTACATATTAAAAACAGCTATTTTATTTTATAAATTACTGATACCTGAAGCCTAAAATAAACAAATAATAATTATGTGTTGTCATAATTATTACAACAGTACCTCGATTTCTATTTCTTACAGTATATATTATAGTATTTGCTTGACTATGTATGCTAATACTTCGCCTCCCCTTGTAGTTTTCGAAATATTCGTCTCACCATTTACATCCGTACAACTATAGGTATAATCGTACTTCTCGGGGGACGTGATACGACTTTATGGTGGCGGCGGGGTGCGAGAATCGCAATGTACTAATATTATTATTATTATATACCGTAAAACGTGTACTATATAATAACATATGTTGCAAAATAGCGACGTGCGGAACGTCTGGTGTCCGAGAATCCGAAACTGCTGTGCAGCAGCAGCAGCAGTAGCTCTAATAGTCGTCGGCTTTTAAGTCATGCCAAAACTAGTGGGGATTATTGCGTGGGTGGTCTGGTGACCGAGTGTGTGTATAAGTGTTTCGCGAGCATATTACAATATGTATTATTATTATTATTATTATTATTATTATTATTATTGTATAGTATTGTCCACCCGCAATGGAGTTGCAAAACTTTATTTATACATATAGTCGTCTATAGGCGTACTTACAATATTTTATATGGTACTTAAAAAGAGGAAAAAGCATAGTAGATATAGGCGGAAAAAAACCGACAACGGCGGTGCCAGTTGGCTGTCGACACCGATGACCTCAAACGCGCGCACCTATAGCTCGGTGACGGGTCTATAATATTATTATAATAATATCGCACACCCGCGGACTCATTGTATATATACGCGAATCTTGCGGGACACACCGGGTGTCGGTGTGCGTGCGCGTGTCCGAGTTTAATATGCGACGTAAATATAATATAATAACTGCGATTAAACTTAGATTTAAAATTCCCCCTTTCCCCTTACCTTTCCAAAAGGTCGGGCGGCAACAAGAGAGAGAGAGAGAGAGAGTACAAGAAACTTTAACGCACGCGGCAGTACCTATACAGTATTTAGTATACTCACGACGCTACAATTTTTATTGCAACGCTACACGCATAGATTTTTATAACATGATAAGTAGGTAGTATACATACTGTAATATTTTATAATAACCAAAAGCTAAAATATAATTTACGCGTCATATAACTTGCAGTAGCCTCCTACCTACCTCAAAAATAATAACAATTTATTATAAGTGTATTTAATATTTTATTACGTTGAAATGTTGAAGCATTTATCCTGACCCACCCAACAGTTCCAAAAGTGTGCCGGGGGATCTACATCAGTAAGACCCCCTATAAAGATCTCCTATATGAGTTCGGAGTATACGAAATAGGCAAAATTAAAAACTGTACCTATAGTCTGTATGGAAAACCGAACATAGCCACATATCATACAAAATTTAAAGACATGGATATACGTATTATTTAGAAATCAAATAGGAACTAAATAACGCTATGATAGAAAAAAAAATTAGTAGCCGACTACTAGGCACCGACAAAGAACAAGATGGACAGATGCAGTGGGGAAGAATATACGATCGGTATAGATGCGAATACCCCAATAGATTGGTCATTGGATCGGGAAATATAGAGTAGGCACCCTACTCCGTAATGCAGTATGTCGCCTGGCGTCTGCAGAAAGTTGGCACGCGTAGTCTCTGCACCCAGCTGAGTTAGATCAAGAAACTTTACAGATAAGTTGGGAGCCTCCATGTCTTGTGTCACTTGCAGGTGCCTCCGTAATCGGGACCCTTTAGTTATTAAGTAGAAAATGTTTATATTCTATAATATAAGCTATAACAGCCGACTCGATAATTCGAAACTTTCGGCTAATCTAAGTAAAATCTAGACTAAGCTTATAGCTGCCCACAAGTGTCGAGTGATAGTATTCAAAGTTCCTTACTTATCAGCTCTCGGCAAGTGTCCGTAGTTTTTTTATTATTTTTTTTATTTACCGTGTGATTGTAGCCCTTTTAATGACCTATTATCGTTAAAACAGTTGTATAACAATCAGTGTCTAATCTAATCTTATATCGTTAATGTACAATACACATACATGTATAGCACGTATCAATCATCGAATAGTCGTATAGTTTTGTTTTTTCGATTAAACAAATAACGTGTAATGATTATTATTATTTATATTGTATAATCGTTCGTTTATTGTTTTTCATTAGTATACATTTTTTGGCCTCTCGGCATTTTACGAGCACTCGACACTCAACAATTCGAAGTTTTTCTTTTGGGCCCCTCTCTCCCGCGATTTCTTTAAACAAATATATTATGGTTTCTGTGTTTAACGAAACGAACGATTTTTCGTGATACGTGTTATTAATCGAGTCTAAAGTAAATTCGCAGCGAAGAGAAACTGCACACAACGAAATCAAACGATGATCGGATGACTTAACCCCCTCTTGAGATATATGTATATATTTTTTTATATAGAACTTTTAAACGCAGTCGCTTCTCGCTAAAAAAAAAATGTTATTTTCTTTTGTGATTATATACCTATTTCAGTACGACAATAAAATTGTAACTTCTATATAATATTTACGCGTATTTAAACGCATTTTAATACGAATCCGAACGATTATTTAGTAGGTGTACTGCTTATAGTGGTATCTTTAAATTCAGTAGTGTAGTGCAGAGGTGAGGGGGAGGGGGCTAGAACGATGAAAGAGGTAAAAACTGTCAGAGTATACGTATACAAGTTGTTTAGCGGCTACCGCACAGCAGCTGCTGTGTGTATTATAAAATACGCAAACATAATATATCATCCCGGACGAGGTTCATTGGTTTATGGTATCGACGGTAATCCCCCCGGGGCGCGAACGCTCAAGTCTCGAGTCACTACATTATAAAATATACAAGTACAATAATAATATAACATACGAACCGACCTGGAAAACATTATTATATTTTTTAACCTCACCATGCCCCTCCCCTCGATTAGTTGTGATTTACGAAAACGAATGAAATGTATATATATATATACTATACCGTACGATGCAGAAATTACTATGCACTTATAATATACAGGTATCTGAATATTATGCACTATATTATTATTATTTTAATATATCGGTACACAACGTTGTAGCCGCGATTTAGACTTGATCGTCGTCATAGCATAGTCGTCAGCATTAAAATTACGAGATTCCGTACAGCACACGATGATTCCTTTTCTTCCATATTGCATATTATTATTATTAGGTACCTGTATTTGCCGGCTCGATTTAACTTTTTTTTCGCTTGACGTCATTGAGCCAAACCGCATGAAATTGTATGTTTTATGGTCCACGTACAAAATATGAAAGTACAATCCCACCAGAGTACAGAGTATCCGTATTTTGTCTTCACACCTATTGAGTCAAATTTTTTTTTTTTTTTTGCTCTTTAAATCAATAATGTTAATTTTCAAATGTATAAACAATATTACCGAATAACAGTTATTATAAATAGTTGGGTAAATTGGATTTTGTGTTGAATTTTTTTTTTCATTCGTACATTAATTTAGTGTAAACGGTTAAAAAATATTGTATCGCATTATTTGCATACGGATTTATTTAAATTTATTCGGCGAGTATAAATCATCATTATTACAATACGTTTAAAGTGTAAAAAATACCAAACATAAATCTACGCTGATAATGTAGACGTATACCTATAGTAAATATCGTTTTCTAAATATGTACAAACAAGCAATATTGGACGTTGCACCTCTTAATTAAAATTCCAACGATGGTATTATTGATATACGTGTTATTTTTTGTTTTTTTTTTGCAATCATTATTAGAGCCTTGCACTATGATTACTCTTTTTTTTTTCTTTTTTTTTTAAACAAATTAAATGTGAATTATTGTAAAAAATTGGTTTTATAAAATCCAAGATAGCCATTTTATAAATATATTTTGGTGTTACAAATATTTACTGATGATGAATCGTTTAGTTACTTGACTTAAGTATAATATAATATAATCTTTTTGATGTAACTGAGTTGAATTACGAGTGACTACATTATTACAAAATTTACCCTTAGGGGAGTATGAATCCATTTTGAAATAAGGCCAGTGAGGCTTCGAATTTATACTAGCTAAGACTTATTTTCAGGGGGGGGGGGCGAGAAAAGAGGACACGGTTTAGGGGAAGAAAGGTCATAATAAGTATAATATTATTTTAAATTTAACCAAGACAGTCGATAATTAGTTAATAGAATTATAAATATTAATAATAACAGATTTACTTTTATTAGCTTCAGAAACATTTCATTCAGTGCGCCTCTGATCTATCGGTACATTTGTATGGACTGTCATCGTAGCAAATCCATTTCATCGGCGCTATAATGAATAACATATATATTTAGTGTTTAGGTAGGTATACGTAATGTTTATAAAGTTTCCCAATATTCATTTACAAATATATCTCTAGCATTGTGTATTCCGCGAGTCATTTTTAACAATATAAACTTGACTACTATTTATGATTTTGGTCATCGTTTTGTTTCAAATTTAATAAAAAACATTTAAATTTATATTTATATCTAACACCGTGAATTTAGTTTCAATACTGTTTAAACTCTTACGATAAAAAAAACGCCAGGAGGTAATTTGATATCAGACTCTCCTCTTAATTATTACGCCATTGCTATAATAGATACACGTTGAAAGTTATTGTTAGTTACTATGTGAGAAGTTACTTTTTTAATATTTTGTAATGCAAGTTGAGGTAAGATATTTTAATACTAATCCGTGTCCTAAATCAAATAATTTAAGTATGTAATTACAGGTCCTAAAACGGTTAGAAATGTGTGTAACTTATTTTTACTCAACTATAGAGTTTATAATTTCACAGCATTGATTTTGCCAAAAAATAAAAAAAATCACCCAATACTTGGTAAAGTTCGATTTAGCGATGAACGTACACGCAAAAATATATTGGGTACGCGTTTCGCGTGAAACGTCAATAATGTCAATACATACAAGGTGTACTGAAACGTGTGCACCTACGTCGTGCGTCGTCCTGAACAATGAAATAATTAGGTATGTATCCTTATCTCTAATCCGCAACGACGGTTGTAATTAATTATTGAGCGAAGGTCAATAAGGTCATCGGGAGAATTTCCATTAGGCGCAAGTCTAGACAATTTATATTGTGCAGTGTATCTACCTCACTGGTACTAAATAAGTGTTATGTTCTTCTTATAACGTATCCGAGTGTTGCTGATGGCAATGACTAAAATAAATTACCCCTTGGACCACCTTTGCTGTCCAAAAAGTCAAGAGGTTTTTATATTCAGCGTTTCGTTATCTCCTAAAGTGATGAATGTCTGAAAGTTAGTCATTGAGGTTAAGTATAATATATTGGAATAAATAAATAAATATATTGGATATAAATATATTGAACATGTGTACTAAGGAATAGTGATTAATGGCAATATCCATATCATCAATTTATGGGGAGACGAAAATGGCGAAAATAAGAAGAGTAAAAGTAGAGTGTATTTAGACTTTAGAGTAATATTTTTAGGACGCGGATTTCGAAACAAACGACTATTTTCGTTTTAATTGCTGCTCAAGGACAACGCAATAAAATTATCGTGCAATTTAATTCGTGTAAGAGATACTTATGAAGTAAAATTTTTATTTTGAATTTTTAAGTCATTGTATTAATTTTATGTGGTGCATAATTTGTACTTCATTATACGAATTATTTTTAATGTAAAATTAGTTAAGTAATTGGAAATACATATATTATCACAATAAATTTTATTTTCATTATATGTATTTGCTTTGGGTTTTATATATTATTAGTCTTAGTAATTCGATTCACTTCGAAAATGAAACTATTTTATTTTGAAACTTATGCACTTTTCGCTGTATTTCCGTGTTTAGGTTATTTTTTAAGGGTATTAATCTATAATTAGTAATTATTATTCACAATTCGACGAGAGAATTAAACTTTCCGAGATATTATACGTATATTTGCAGGTGTCCCCGTCGTGTTTTCCCAATTCTAGTATTTTTGTCAAGGTTCAAATTTTGTTTTTTTCAATTTGTCTTTGTGTATTGGGGACATATATATTGAGCAAAATTAAATTTTTATTTTCACTGGAAAAATAGCTTTTCAATATGGAATAATTGATCAAACAAAAAGTTTTTTTTTCTTGTAATTGGGGGATGAAAATAAAAATTACTTTTCTTCTATATGTGTGTCCCCTGACACTAGATCCGATTTCAAAAATAAAAATATTAACAGAGATATTAGCTCCGGGAAAAAACGGTGGGACACTTGAACAATATACATAATTTAGAGCTGACGGGAACAATTTTCATAATGTACTCTAAAATATACATTATAATAAAAAATTCTCCGAGACTTTAGTGCTTTATAGACTGAGAACGGCAAGAAAAATATTGTATTAAATATATCAACTGCAGGTTTCTAACGATTTCATTCGACTATATTAAATGTATAATATTGTATGTACACAATAACATAGTCCGCGATTGTTCGACGCCATACGTCTTTATTCTCGTTTTTATATTATATTAAACATATCGAGAGGACGGCGAAAGAAAAACATAATGTAGGTATGCAGCAAATACCAACCGAGTTTTTTTATTATTTTATTTTTTAATTTCCGATCTGTAATATTATTGCATACGAGTATATGACTCACCGCGATCGACCGATCGACCGACAACCGTCTGTCACCACGGTAATTCGTTGCAGTAATTTTTTTTTTCTCTTCCAAGTGGAACCAATAGCAGTTAATTTATTTTCGCGCGACAAGAATACTATACGACATTGGAGTAGCTGCAGGTTGGATATCATACGTACCTATATAGTCGTTATTCGCTAATAATCATATTATTAACAATAGGCTGTTTGCGGTTTTCATGCAGGTTAAGCTACACGCGAGGGACGTTATATTATTTAAATACGGCGTTAATACGCATTATAATAGGTAGTTAAAAAATTGTATACTATAGTTCCAAGCGTCGTATATGGAATAAGACCTTCGACATATTATATACGGCCGTGTATTTATTACGACGACGTGACGACGACCGGGCCAGAAATGAATTGTGTACGGGTTTCGTGCGCCATTTGACATTTTTTTCCGCCGTATAGATAGCTTCAGAAAGAGGAAGTTTTCGTTTGGGTAAAATTGTATATAAAAAAAAAACCCCCCTATTAATCATTCGGGTTTCTATCTTATCATTTTGCTATTACGAACACTCGATTATTCCATTATTAGATGTGTAGATGTGTTTTGGTGATGCAGTTTTCGGTAAACAGTTTGCTACATTGTTTACTATACTTGGTTGCAAGATCGAAACATAGTATTTTATACATACCAACGGATAACCCGTAATCAAAGACGGCAGACGAATATGTTTTATTGATTGCTGATCCGGCAACACTATATATTGGTTGTCGAAAAGTGTAATCATTTAACAAACAATTGCAGTAAACAATATCGTCAAAACGATTTGTTCGCTAAACGAGTAACCTGCGGTTTGTACAAAATTGTATAATAATATAGCCAAAACACGTTCATTGTTCGAAGGTTTGTACTATCAATTATGCAGACTTCCAACTAACTGATATTTCTGTACTTATATCGTTTGAGCAAGAATTAGTTTTTTAAATAAAGTCCTGATGTTTAAAACTACCAGTTTTTTTTTTTTTTTTTTAATGTATATAAACATTTTCTTTTGTGGTTTTGAAGACTTGGGGTGCACCTAAATACTATATCGGTTAAAATGTGAAGACGTTACGAATGAAATTGGTTTTTTTATTACATTACCTATATTCAATTTGTTATTAATTTTACCAATAGCTTTATTTAAATCAAACGTCATCGGCAGATGCCAAAGACGAAATAAATTATTATCGCAACAATATTACCTTAAAGTTCCCGCGAAATTCACTTTTATGTTTACTTTATGGCCCGCCCAAGGTCAGGATACATCACATTCGCCTATACGATTTATAAGTTTTTATTTATATTTTCGTTTGCCCTCGAATAAATAGTTCCCATATAAAGCAAAAGGAGCACTATGTCCAATCGTTTACTCGGTACGTTTATACGCTATAAAAAATTATATCACATTGATCATATTATTTATGTCAATCCTTTTAAAACCAAACTCATTCGTGCTGTGATGCAAAACTCTTATTTAATAGGACGTGATACCCGTACGTGCGACCATCTTCGTTTCACAAACGAGCGACATGAGACAGATTTACGTTCTGGAGAGATAATTTAGTGCCGTTACGTTTTAATATTAAAGTGTGAATCGTACTTAAGGTTAAGCACATAATTATCTTTGCCTTTATTATGAGATAAAATATTTTTAGGTTAGACTAGACTGGGTCTTACTAATTGAAAATATGTTTTTCGAAGGAAATAAAACACATCTTGGTTCAGCTAAAAACTCGATCCAGCTCATTTTTTTAAAATAAATATTTTAAATATATGTGCACACTTTTTAATATATTCAACGTCCTATAAGCCGATAGAAATATTTAAAAGAATATGTTCTCACTCAACAAATATTTTAAACAAAAGTTCTTATAACAAACCTTTAATAAACAAAAAAAGACGCACATGATTCGCATCGTGGATAGACAGACCACTGTTGTATAGGTAGGAAGTAAGTAAAGTATTGAATATTGGGTGATTAAGTTTATAAATCGGTAACAACGATCATTGTAATTTAAGAACGACTCTAATTTTTCGAGTGAAGCTTGGTATACTGATATGATATGGGATCCGTAGTGTTCTTTCTCTTGTAGCCAAGGTGTCCCAGAAATCAGCAAGTGTAACAAATGGATTGTCATTTGTTTTCAGTTATTTTTAATTTTTTTGAACAAACGTTGGAAAATCTAGACAATTTTTTCATAATTTAATAAGTATATCAGCAGGCGAAAAATGTGGATTTTTCCGGTACGGCGTGAACAATTTGGATAGTTTTTACTGGCCGAAAATCCGCTTCGTGGTCCGTCTTATTGAAATACAAATAATTTTTTCGGAATTCAAAACAAAGTTTTCGCCCAATCGGTATAATTCACTAGATTTGTTCGAGCAATCGATTTTGCTCGAGTTTTCTCGAATCGAACGATCGGCTCGACTCTACTTATTGTTTATTTATATTTTTGGTTCTCGTAAACTCGAGTACTCGACTTTACCTCAAGTACTAGAGTTTACTCGATTACTCGAATGTTGTATTTCAAAAAAATAAACGTAACATCTATAAATATAAAAATTACCAGACCCAGATATTTCCGATAAAGAATACCGTGTTAATGGTACGAACTTGTGAAATTAGATTGTTATCGTAATATTCAAGTATTATGATGACGACGGAAATTATGTCGTAATTTATAGTTGGTCGAGTATACTCAACACGGCAAACTTTTTTTTGTCCGGTACTCGTATATAAACTCAGACTAGGTTTCATAAAACCATTACTCGCCTACTTCTATATACAATTTAATATTTAAATGACTCCGTTATTTTATTTATTTTTTTTTTTTTTCTAATAATTAATTAATTCTCCTGTAAAACAAACTATATCTACTGGAAATTGCGCGTATATTTCGCTCGAATCACGAACACGCCTCCGATCAATCAATCGGGTGCGAACGATTTTCGTTTTTTTTTTTCCCCCCATCAAAATCGATTAAGCGTAATTTCACGGCGTCGACGACGCGATTGATAATAATATATCGTCCGGCGAACAGAAATTAATCAGCTGTTTTTAACGTTTATATACATATATTGTACCTAAATATATATATATATACCTATCTACTATATTATATTATTGTAACGTCGTAATTTACTCCTCGAACGCGTCGATCGGAGGATACGCGCGATTTAAAAAAAAAAAAAAAATCGTCTTATTATATTCTACCCGTTCGAAACGTGTTAAATTGTCCATAAATTTGCTGTCCGATCGCGGCCGTGCACACATAATAATACGCACTTGTTATAAACTATACTCTCTCGTATTATAATCCCGCGGGACGGTCGTGTTAATTCAAAAAGAATTTTTCGGGCAGCGTCATCGAGGCGGCGGCGCGACATTATCGCCAGACCGATTTGAATAAATGCGCGGAGGACCGCGTGGAAGGCGGGCGACCAGTTCTCCGCCGCGTTAAACACGACGACCGGGGGAATAATTTGTCTCTCTCTCTCACCGCCCGCGTACGTCTTTTTATCGCAAAATAATAAATTGGCCGTACCGAGTCACATGACGATCCGTATTTTATTATTAGCGGTTCGTACGTACGTATATAATTTTTTATTATTTTAATCCCACATAAAATCGAGATAGAAATCGGCGCACGTAGATCCGCAATCCGCCGCAAACACGCGGGCGGCGTCCTATAAACAACAACAACAATATAATGTATCCATTTGCTTCGATTTATTTTTTTTTTTTCATTATTATTATTATTATTTTTTTTTTTTCCGTTTCGTTATTGTTATTTCAGTAACGCGATTTATCGCGATCAATGCCCACTGGTTCGTCCGTCAGCCATCAATAAAAACGCTAGGTTGCCGCGTGGTAATGACTAACGATTTTTTTCCTGTAATTTTTTTTTTCTTCCCCCTTCCCCTCCCTCCCCCGTTCGCCGTGCGATACTCGATACTTTAATATTATACAGCGCGATTATTTTATCGCGTCACGGGCCCGCGACGATTATCGGCTACACGAAAATTTACATTTCGATTTTCAAATAGATCGTTACACCTCGCATTTTTTTCAAATAATTATTCGAAGCTTCAAAATTTGAACATTATTTTCACCTTTTAACTGCCGCTAACTGTACGACTTTTCCACTAATAATTACTCGAGCTCGGAGTACGAGGGATTGGGAGGTCCAAAGATGGGACATGCTACCTGGGCCATCATACTCCAAAAGTCTTCGTTTTTACCACAGTATGTTCTTTATCTATGGATTTAACCGTTAACATTGTATACTTTGACGAAAACTACTAGTATGAATTTAAAAAAAATTTTTCTTTTGAATCCGGTTTTTAAATGTCTATTGTCAGCTTGGATATATAGGAACACTGAAATTGTTTAAATACGCGAACAAATATTTAAGCGTGGAAATTCGTTGTTTTGGAAAGGTTACGCGGTTATTATCAATCTCCGTATACCGAATAAAATGTTTCTTCATTTTAATAGGGGATATCGATAACGCATAAACCGATCGAAAATACAAAAAACTCGCTCTGTCCTATAGAAAAATTGGAAAACCGGTATAATACGTTTCTCATGCGTACACATTTGTGCACCTTTATTTCGAAAAAGTCGTTAACAAGCCCCCGTTAAACGCTATTTCGAAATAAACCAAAATCGAACTCGCTGAAAACGTTCGCATAAGTATAATCGCACGGAACTTGCACACGATTATCGCCCTGTATATGTTTATAATTTGTGCACCGCGATGGCGATGTCGCAAACAAAATAACAGAACAGACGGTGTTATAATATTATTGAGTTTCGACTACCATATACTCGCGTACGTTATATAGGCCGAATCGGCCGAGATATAAATCACACGCGGGCACCGTGCTCGGGGGGTACGAACTATACATAAATAATACACAACAGCCTATTGCAGAATAAAACTAAACTCTGAATTACTGTATGTGCGCGGTCATTGTTCAGCATTTGTCGTTGTTGCGCAATAATAACGATCCCCTAGCTACGATACGAGATAGGTATAATACGCTACTGCGCCGGCCGGACACGGTTTCGTGACGATGAGAAATGCGCGAAAATGGAAAGGATTTCGCGCACGTATATTATTTACGAAAAGATAGCAACGGCATGTCTGCGGAGCTCTGGTATAGCACAGAAGTGAGAGAAATATATAAATCGCGGTGGTTATAATTACTACGCACGGTTTACGATATATTACCGGCAGGTACATGAATAACGTCTGAAATAGTCGAAGCGTTTAAAATATTTCTTAAATCCGAATCCAATAATCCTAATGCACGGTTCGCTATAATATATAGCTGCTATTTCCCCAAAGTCGCAGAATATTTTAATACATTTAATATATTAAAAGAGCTACGCATGGTTTCCGTGATATTTGTACACCATGTGACACAGTATTGCGTACTATCGCATATTTTAATACGCCAAAATAGGTTATTTTTTATTTTTGTCGTAATATTGCATACACAATTCACTAAACTGTATACCTTATAAATTGTATTTTATATGCGCTTTATTGAATCTATTCAAAAACAGAAATTAATCAAATAAAATTTAATTTAACGAGTCTTCCCGTTCCAAACCCTTGTCTGTGATGACCAAATGAAATAATAATATGTTTTTTTTTCATTCGTATCAGCTATAAGGTAACGGATAAAACATTAAGATAATTAAATTTTCATTTTAAAAACACCAAGATCCCTGTGTCTGTCACCGTTTAAGTGTTGAATTGAAAAATTAGACGGCGATCATCCTCTTGTTTTGAATGTTAAATGTGAAACATTTCATCAAGAGACGGACTGAATCCCAATTGTATGTGTAAGATACAATTCTACTGGACATGCAGTAAGAAAATTATTTGTCCACTGCGCGTATCCATTATTTTGTTTAACTGCTATGTCCATTTGGACACAGAAAATGTTTTTAAAAATTATCTCAAAGTTCGAATAACGAACAACGAGGTTACGAATAGGCATTTTATTTGTACTTGTTCGCGTATACTCAGTGGCGGAACCAAAGAAGTTGGGTTTTGTACCCTCCTCCCTCATTGCAGTTTTTTAAAGCTATAAGTAAGGTTAGCAGGGTTGTAGACTCCTAGATCCCCTTCCACGTTCATAAATCCTGGCAACGCCCATTACGCCACAGCTGGGTTATTTTTTATTTTCCAAGACATTTCCACAGCTACAGATTTTATCGGAAATTGATCGTTTACAAAACGCAGTACCTATACTGGTACAATGTATTAAGTAAATGTCAAATTTGATTTTTTGTGAACGTTTTGTTAACCGCGATAAAACTAAGTTAACTATAGCTTAAAAATAGTAAAATTAACGTGCGGACTTACTTTAGGTGTACAAACGGATACAAACTGTTAAGTGATAGTACTGATAAAAAAAATACGCAAAATATACGATTGTGTTTACATAATTTTCAGTGATTTTCATAGTTACTAAAGATATGCAGGGCACATCAATCGGTAGTTTGCGGTCGTGAATACTCGCACTAGTCGCAGCTGTAACAATAAAACCAACGATAAAAAGGCCTACGTATACTCCCCTATCCTATACTAATACGTGTCCCAATAATACCCGTCCATCTCGGACCGCGGCACACAATATAGGAGTGGCTACTCCATATTCTCATAATATCGACGGTTATTTTGAACCGTTTTAAGAGAACGTGACACCCGCACGTATAGTATTCTGCAGCATTTTCACTGAATTTCGGACTTTTACCGTTTCTTTTAAAATAAACGCGTCGGAATCGATTCGTTGGGTCGATTAGTTTAAATTAACACTAACACGTTTGGACGCCGCCAATCGATTGACGAAATGTTTAATGTTGTTATATTACGGCACGCGGTCGTGTTTCTGTGCGAACAGTCCATTTTTGTTTTATACTCGGCGCCGCGAACTACGGAAAATTCGATTTTTCGGGGCGGAGAAAAATGACCACGCGGCCTTTTGACCATCAGTCAATATTATAATCATTGAAAATATAATATACGCGGATAGGGCATTAGGTGGTTTGGCGTGAGCCTGAAGTGAATATACGTTACCGCAATGGTCATATCCGGTTATGCCTTGTGGTAACACCAATAGCTGCGTAGTGATAAGTAATAATGGTGATTAGTGATTAAACCTGGACAATTTAGAATAAGTAAAAATACATTTGTTTTTTTATCATAGTAAAATCGTAATAATAACACAAATAAAATATAAAATAGTTATTAATATTATTCCATAAGTCTGTTAAAAAAATGTTATTATCGTTTGTTACCGTACGACGGCGATATTTTTCTAGTACTGTGTACACACAATAATATCGCATTCGGGTGTATAGACGAAAACGGGGTAGGAGAGGCCGGAAAGAAAAAAAATATTTCAAACTCCGTAAATTCGCGTACACACACACACACACACACACACCGCACACATTTATCTATACCTATATACATATTTTCCACACACACACACACACACACACACACACGCACACATTTATTTATATTTTACTATATATAGCGTACATCGCGTATAGTCATTCTCCTTTTTTTTTTTTATGTATATATATATATATATACGCGGTACAGTATCTGTAGTGGTGTTGCGTCTACCGCCGGCCGTAGGATTGAAATTGACAAACGTTGAACCCGTTCGGCCGTATAATAGCGCGCAGCATCTCACTCCCTCTTCCCGGCGCGTGTAAACGCCGCGCCGCGCGGCCGGCGCAAACCGAATCGCGTCCTCCGCCTCTATAAACGCTGCAGTTTCGATATCGGTACCGGCGGCTCCGCATCCATTCCACCGCGCGATTCCTACCCGACGTGTCTACGCGCGCGTACGTAACGCTACAACAATTGCAATAGCACCGGTTGTTGTCGTTTCAGTAACCGACGTAATCGCGTCCATAGGGGAAATAACGAATTTCCGTTAGCCCGCGATATCGGACAATAATTACAAAACGAACGGAATCGACGGACGAACTTTTTGGTTTTTTTTTTTTTTGGTTCTAAATTATACGATAATAACGATAATAGAGAACGATTAATTTCCGCCGGTTTTTCACCATCGTTATTTCACGCGATTCATTGAATTTATAATTTTTTTTTTTTTTAATTTTTACTCCGATAATCGTTGTTGTCCGGTCTACATGTAATAATTGTTTACTATACCTTCGATTATTATTATAATAATATTATGTGAACATGAAAAGTTTCGCGCTTGCCGATCTGCCGCAGGTAATATTTTTATTATACAGAGTACTTATCCAATCTCTTAACGCGAGCTTGGGAAGCCTTTTATAGACTTCTTCCGTCCCCCGTCCACAAGAGGTAATCGGAGACGGTATATTCTTTGGGAATCGTTTTTTTCGGTAAATGTTTACGTCTGGCAGTTCAATACTACGTCTCTCTTTTGCGATCTTTTTTTTTTTTTTTTTGGCTCAGAAATTAATCATAACGACTAAAATCGATTGTACCGCAAGTTTACCAAACATAACTAATGAATGCTATTTTCTGCTCAAGACGACGTATTATTCGTTTAGTTTTTCGACCCACAGTGTAAATATCCGATGTGCCGTATATCCTCATCATCGGCATCATCATCATCCGAGTGAAAGCACACCACAATATTATTATTATTATCATTATTATGGAACAGCGATTCTTTTGTGTTTGCATATACCGATAATGAGAATCGATCGGACAAAAGAAACTGCAGCAACAAGTGTGTGTGTGTGTGTTTTTATGCAGCCGATATATACCTATAGTCGTACGCTATCTCTCTTATCAAACAATCGAGCGTGATGTAAAAGTCCGACGAATTTGGGTTAATAAATAATAATAATAAAAAATGTTTAGCCGACGACGCGTGGAACAATACAATAGCTGAAAACCTTGGACGGAATTTTATTATGTGTGGTGCACTGTGCGTCGCCCCGTAAAAGTTTCGAACATTTCACACTATTTAGACATTATTTCCTTGCGTAACTGATGAAATTCGCATCTCGCAAATATTTTCTATTATACATACACGCGTAGGTATACGGACATTCCTCGTCGATACATAACGATTAGCGTACAATACCTACCGTAAAAATACCGACAGTAATATCATATTATATCCTTGGTCCCGGGGTGGGCGGCCTTAAAAGTAAATGTTGTACATAGTTTTCAATCCGAGCAAATTAAATGTTTAAAATGCTAATACGCTAAACTCGCCAATTTAAAAAAAAAATACTCACAATTATTACCGTTCAGAGCGAAAAATAAAGATAAAAACATTGCGCGAGGTAAAATTATGAAAATAAATTTCAAAAACAGATCCGAGTCCTTTTTCTTTTCCGGCGCTAAAAATATCGCGGAATCTACGGAGGAAAAGCTACTTTTCCCCGACTGTCGGATTCTAATTTATTTGGCAAAAAAAACGAAAGTAATCGTAACTCTTACCATGCTCGTCCGGGTTTTGCTCGAAAAATACGCATTTGAACGAAACCTATTGAACATTACGTATTACGGCATAATAATGTTCGCGTGTACGGGTGATGTTTTTTTTTTCTTTTTCCCCCCCCCCCTTCGAATTCCGACGCGAAATCCAAAAATCTCGTTTCGGCGAACGCGCGTACGTGTTAATAATATGCGGCCGGTGCAATACTGTTATGGGATCGGGAATCGGGCGAGTTAGCCTAGACGAGTTGCCCGTGGGCGACAACGATAATTATTACCACGGGATAGATTCGGCGCGCGGCCACATACAGGTGTATAGTATTATAATATAGGTAAACCGGTTCGTTTATGGAAAATACCATTATTAATGACGTCGCGGGCCGCGCGAAACGCTACGTGGGAGGAGAAGGAGACGAACGGAGAGAGAGAGAGAGAGAGAGAGAGAGTGTGATGGAGAAGAAAAAGGAACGCGTGTAAGCATTTTGTCAGCCAATTGCTTTTGGTGACCGTCCAAGTTCGCGTATACCTAGGTAAAAAAAAACTATCGCGTATGTATGTATTTTTTTACTTTTTTTTTTTCTACGCATTTGGAGTATACTGTCATATAATTGACGTATGTCTGAAAACGCGCGCGTACGCTTGCACACGCCGCACACTCGTGCTGCATACGGAATCGGTGTCCGTTATAATGCAGCGCATTACACATATACACGTTATGTGATTACATTATATAGTCTATAGCCGGTCGCCTTTTTTTTTTTTTTTTTTTTCTTTTTTCGATCCATAAACGGCATGTTGCGGGCTTGGGGCGCGGGGCGATCGGGGGAGGGATAAATAATAATAATAATAAAAAAAAAAAAAACGACACTATTCGCGGAGGAACATTGGGGACTCGTGCAGAGCAGCAGACGATGAAGATCCGGTACGTCGCGTTTCTCGATACACATTTTATGTGCGTGTGCATTTTTTTTTATACACGGTGGACCGACCACGACGGTCGTAATATTATAATACGAAACGGGAATAATATAGCGATAATAAAATATTATTTTTACGTCTCGCATACGCGTGTCCATGGGACGGGCATATGGCCCACGTGTAGGGTTACACGTCGCATCGCTACGCGTACGTGTCGTATGGGCGCACGACCGGAAATATTATCGCCACTCGAGTTTTTTTTTTTATCCCGTCCGGGGTGTGTACGGGCGCGCGGTATACGGTTTATTTATTAACGAACGCGGCGCGTGTCTCGCGTTATTGTAATATTATATTATTATTATTATTATTATTATTATTATTATTATTATTATTATTATTATTATTATGAACATAAAAAGAAGAAAAGAAAAAAAAAACCAAACTCGAAAAGCCCTTGTATTTTTTTAATCGTTCGTTTTTCCGGCGCTGCGGAACATTATGAGGTTATCGAATCCGACAAGGATCCACGCTGCAGCAGCTGCGGCCGCAGCCGTCGCTACTGGTGCAGCAGCGTTTAGGCGTTAAACGGCAATAATATCATTATCGTCATCGTTATCATTATTATTATTATTTTTATTATTATGATCGGCGGTATGGGCGCCGCGCGTTTACAGGCGAATGGGAATATTTTTTGGTTTTTTTTTTTTTTTTTTTTTTTCAAATATTAATATAAAGTAGCCGTAGGTATAACCGCGAGTGTATATACGTGGGTCGATTAAATTGACGTTATAAAATGCAACGGCGTTATAATAACACAATATTATAATGAATATTTATTAACCGTATAGCGCGTGCCTACATAACGTAGTATTATAATAACGTGCGATGCTGGCGATCGTGTATAGTTGATCCTGTAGGATGACAGAAAAAAAAAAAAAACATTAGTAAATAAATAATTGTGATGACAAAAACGCTCTAAAGCGCTCGGTCGTCCGAAGACGGCATTAGTACGATGCGCGGTTCCCCTCGCTGCATTTTATTGTGGCGAAACTGCAATCGAACGCGTATCGTCGCCGTCGCGGGGTTGTCTTGTTATTTTTTTTTTTTCAGCGTTCGGTCAATAAAAACTGCAAAAACAGAGAAGAGAAGAAAAAAAACGATCGAATCCGGTTTTCGGTGCCTCGACCTTAAATGGGCATTTAATCCGACGCCGGACTATACGTAATAATTGGATATTATTAAAGATAAAAAAAAAACATCGTTCTTATTGCGGATAAACGTGAGGTATTTCGTTCGCCGCGATTATAGGCGGGCGTCGATATTACGTGTATAAATGTATTATATAGTTCATAAATTCTCGCTGCACTTTTAGACCTGAACGGCTCGTCGGTCGAAAGCGACAGGGTGTGGGCTACCGTACGCACACTGCTGCTGCGCATGACGTTTATTTTTAGATTGTTTATTTCAGGAAACCATAAAGTACGCGGAACCAATATAATAACATTGTGTATACGGCGTACGCTGCATTATTCCATGGCCGTATGAGTAACAATATTTATGAAAAAAAAAAAAAGTCAACTGTCGGTTTGAAAAGAAAAAAAAAACAAGATCAAATGTGTATATAGAATCCTGTGCAGGAACTTGAGGTTTTTTTTTTTATACGTGAAACGTGTTACGATGTTGACGATCTTATCAATAAAACGAGAACATAATATTATATCCGCGGTGACTTTTCCGGTGCATTAAGTATTGCGGTACAATACCGTGGCTACGACGGGGACGTAATGCCCGCGTGCGGTGTGTCCCGTGCAGTCTCCTACAAACGTATACGACATACCGAATTCGCGTTCGGAAGGGGCAACTTTGTGCCGTTCGTTCAAACAATACAGCGAATTGACCCATCATCAAAAATTAATTATGAAAACACACTCGCGATCATTCGGGTATTTTTTCGACGCGTTTTTTTTTTTTTTTTTAAGTGCGATACAAAGCATTTTAAAAATTGCGATAATTCGCGTACCGCCCTATGTCGTTTAAAAAATTAAACATCGAAAAAATAGCACCAACGTTTCACGTATAATGTATGTTTGCCTTTAAATTTGATAATTATGACTAATTGTCATTGTTCTCCCCGTCGAACGCAAATTTTGCTACATCGTACGTTTATAAGATGGGTCAGCGTATAACATCCTCATAATATTATTACAGAGGAGTTATATAAATATTATTAACAAATGCCTACAATTTTTATTTATTTTTTTTTCGACATGAATTTATCGCTCACAATTTTATTATTAAATAAAAAAAGCAATTCGTATAACTCCTGTGCCTCAATACTAAAATATTATAATAATACGCTGACGAACGCATAAAATGTCATAAATTTCCAGAAAGATTCTTGACATTTAAACTACTTGAATCTTTATGTTTTTTTTTTCTGATCGGTTAAATTTATTTCTGTTACGTTATACATTATATTATTATGAATATAATACTCGGCATGATTTTACATAGGTTATGATTTAAAAAAAAAAAAAATGTTTAATTCAAAATACAGAATCGTTAAATCGATAATTTTATTCACCTTAGATCGTGCCCAATGTGTTTTTTTTTTTTTAAATTTAAATAAATTACAAGTTTCGTACTATGTCATTATTTAACATTTAACCATATTTATAAACGATTACTCGATTACTATGGTTTTTAGAGCGTGCCCTGAAGTGTTATAAATTATAATAATTACGTTATATGTTTCCAAACGAAATTCGTTTTCGTTGCATTTTTAAAATTGGTTTCTATACCATACTTTTGCGTGGATGATGGTAATATCATTTAAAAACCTTTATATAATAATATCCAGTGTTTGAAACGGGCAGGGGGAGTATCTCTTATTTTTTTTTACAGATATTTGAACTTACACCTTTTATCATATTTCATTAAGTCGAATGTAGGATGTACAGGGTATTTTAATTAATATTTAGTTCAGTTAAACAGTGTTGGTGAACAAAAATTTAAAATTTAATTAAATTTATTAATTTGTAATTGCAACATTGTCAGTGTGTTCCGTCTCAAATTTTTGAGGATTTTTATGGAGCCAAAGTTGTATAATGTATGTACCCATCAATCGGAAAATAGTACGTGAAATTCCGTTGTTTTTACGATTTTCATCTGCACAATTTGAACTTTAAATGCTTATAAAAAAAAACAAACTATATTACCCACAAATTTTATGAACCAAATTGTCGATAAATCGCGTGTTCAATTTTCGAGCGTTTTTACTGGACCAGAGCAACTTTATTTACATAAAAACCAAGAGAAAAAATCGCGAAAATTCAAAATGACTATAATACAAATAATTTCTAAACGGATTACAACAACACAAAAAAAAAAAAAAAAATAATCGATTTGTTTCTTCGATGCATCAACTGCAGACGAAATTCGCTACCATAAACCACCCTTGAAATCGCCGATCGGAACGAGATTACCGGTAGAAAAACGGTTCACGGACGGAAAAAAAAAATTCACTTCACATAATAATAGTATAACCGATACAACACTCCTCGGGACGTCAGCATCTAAATACACGGGCTTTCTTTTACGCGGGCCATAATAATATATGTCGCGTATTATATTATGACGGTGACCTATAATACGGGTGTGCGGCGGAATTTCTAAATGAAATAACGTTTCGAAACGAATCACGACGTTATTTTATATTATACGTATGCATACATGTCCTTATACACCGAAGCATATAATAATATAATGTATTATCGGTACTAGTTTTCATATAGGTACTCATAATTTGCAACGGAAATATGTGTATAAATTTAGATAGCTACGGTGTGTATACCTCCTCTATATACTCGTATATGTTTCGGCTCTATAATAATATTGCATTATGATAATAATATATACTTTGGATAGGACGCGTGTTGCCGGATTTGCATTCCGGCAACTACTGCAGCCGCTATAACATTTTAATATGGCAGCGGCACGAGGTACGGCGGATATTATGTTACCGATACGATTCACTTACAACACTTAATCTTTTATAAAAAAAAAAAAGTTATAATAATACTTACCGACGTATAATAATAATGTATATACCTAAGTATTTTAGGGGTTGTTCGATAGGGGGGGGCGGCGATTTTTCGTTCACATATAGGCGTATAAGTATTGCTGTGCAATAATACTCACATATTATTCATAAAATTAAATAATTTGAAAAAAGTGAATTTCGAATCAACTATAACAATAATAACAACAATCCTCCCAAATACATTTTTATAAACGAACAAACGTTTAAGAGAAAAACGAATGGTAAAAATGTTAACAAGAACTATCTAAGACCTATATCTATATCTTAAGAAAGGCTGAATATAGTCCAGAGAATCGTGACTTTGAAACTGCCCTATCTAAACAGTATGTATCAGGCAAATTTAATTCAAGCATTTCCATCCGGGTAATCAAGAAAAAAATAATTATTACGATGATCACGCATTTTCAAAACTAAATTTTAACTTTTAACTTAGGTGGGTAGGTATGTTTAGGAATTTTGTTTGTACAACATGTAGAAACTTTTACCTTTGGGGGGGGGAAGCGCAATATTTTTCTGTTGCTCTCGGGTGACAAAATCTTAAATACGGCCCTGAATAACGCTCGTATTATATTATGGTAATATTATGCGAATGATAATAATATTAATATTGTGTACGCAAAGGTATTTTTTATTTTTTTATATTTACCTACTTATATAGATAATCGCCACCCACGTCTACATAATATAATACGATGTGCGGTATCGTTTTATTATAGGTATTTATTTTTACGTAACGTACGAATATTAAATCAAACGCTTTTCACATACCATTTTTTTTTTTTTTTTTTTTTTTTTTTTATTAGTCACAATTTATATATTTTTAAATAATATCTCGGTATGTTTTCTGCAGTAGTTTTACTGCGGTAGTGGGCAGGGTATAAACACATATAGTTGTTAGATATTGTATAATAATAATGTGCATACGAGATAGCTGACCGGTCAACACTGTTGCGTATTACAGTGTTGTTGTATTACTTACCTATTATTATATATATTTTTATTTAATTGTTGACTCGTGTACACTTATAACGACTTACACGACTTGCCCGGTTGTATAATTTTATTGTTATACCGGTCGGTAGCAGGTAGTATAATATTATGTTATGTACCCAACCAGATGGTCGAAAAACATTAAAAAACAACTAATTAATTCGATTAAAGTCAAGTTACCCTAAACAATATCAAAAAAGACTTTGGTTGAAATTTAAAAAAAAAAAAAAAAAAAAAAATGCACACTATGAGTTTATACTCGCACGCGGTACACGAAAAAATTTGAAAATTATTCATTATTTTTGGTGAAATCTTGCGAGTCTAGTTTTCGCGGTTAATCGGATGTTGGGTTCGGGACTAAAAGCACTTAAACCGAACAAAATTCTTTAAGTGATTAAAAACTTCATTTTAAGCCCATTAAGTGCTGAAATAAGCACTTTGAAAATATTTAAAAAAACAAATAGCAGGTTTTCGTTACTGGCTTACGTAATCACAAAGTCGAAAATATCAATTGAAAAAACCAATTTTTAAAAAAAATCTATTAATTAAAGCACTTTCAAATTACATATTTGAAATCGATGTAACGTGATATATATTCCCGTAGCACTCTGCTAGATTATTAAATGTCAACCCAAAAAAATTAGCAATTACGTTCTTTAAAGTCTCAGTTTTACACTCTTATCATAAATCCTTATTATGGTATAATTAAATTGTAAAAAGATAAAAAGTAGTTTATTCCGCGGATTATAACGGTTTACAAAATAAATAATAATAAACTGTAGTTTACTAATAACTGAAAACAAAAAATTCAATTTTAACTATCGATAGTTATTACGTTCACGGTATTTCAGGCGGTGATCGAATTTCGGTAAATTGAACACAACACACCGTAGTAATTAAACGTTATTGTTATCAATTCGGAAATTCACCGCTTTCCCTAGATTTTATGAAATAAACATGAGTATATATATATATATATATATATATATATGTATAGACATTACATTTAGATATTTTTTACTATCACATTTATACGCATAGATACATAATGTATTTCGAAAGATTGAATATTACATTATAGAGAGAAATAAACGTGAATCCAATATTGGAAAATGTATACCTATAATAATATGTATATCGTAATTGAATTTTGTTTTCGTAATCAAATAATATCTTATGTATTGGTAATCTTTTCGGACAATAATTTATTCTCGAATAGGCACAGTAACGAAAATGTATTTATTTTTTTTTATTTTTTTGTGGCCTTAACAATATGCGTATGAATCGTACCCACGACTGTACAGGCAATATTATTATTTTTATCAATCGGTCGATGCAATATTAATAAATTCATGTGACTATACAATAATATAATACATTGACAAAATTGCATTTTGTGTAATAATTGAACTATATATATTGTGTTTTGTTCTGTTTTATTATTATTGTACACGTGGTAAAAATATTCGCGAAAACGGTATCGCAACGAAATTCGATTCGGTACCTAGTTATATAGTGTTTTGATTGCAAAAAATTTAATCATAATTGCGTTCAAAATACTTAAAAAATATTAAACGTAATTTGATTTTTACCGAGAATTATTATACGAATTATATTATTTTATATTAATTATAATTTATCAATGCCCGTTATTTTTTATTAACCCATAAGATATGAGTTTTGGCCATGAAACCAAAGTGGATTTTATAGAAAAAAATATTTCAAATATTTTTCATAATATCACCCACCGCTTAATATTTCACGGCATAAACAAGCAGATTGACGGCTTAATCAATAAAATTTGCCCTCTTATTGGTACCTGTATGGCCACCCTATATTATAGACTCAATCGCATTTACCCATATAGAGTCGGCTATTAAGTAAAAACCCGGATTAAGGGGAAATAATGCCCCTTCCATGGCCGTAAGTCTCCAAGGGCCTCAGATTTTGTTAAAGTGTGTTCGTTATCTGCGCAATTATTATCTATGAATTTATTGATATTCCATTATTTTAAATTTTTTTTTCTTTACGTGTGTTTTGTAATATAATGGAAACTACTAATACGTTTTTTTTTTTTATACAAATATATTTATTTATTTATAAAATACGTATAGCTTTTGAATAAATTGAGGTCTAAAACATCTTTACATTATTTATCGTTTTGTTTCTTCGTTAAATCATATTGAGTAAACATTTTTAACAATTTTAAATTCCGAGCGTAGCGAAGGAGTATTTGGTTTTACTAAGATGTTTATTACTTTTTTTTTTCTTCTTCTAGTCTGTGTCACATTTTTTCCTGGTAAACTTACCTCAGATTTTTACGTGTAGATATTTTTCTGAAAGCTCAAGTTGTCTAGATGGTACTTCAAAAGGGTAATTTTTTATATAAAAGCACTTAAGTGGGAAAAAACGTAGGAAAACGTAAAGTTTCACGATTTCATTATATTATAAAAACACAGACGACGTTTTCTACCAGAACAAATAATTGAATCGAAAATCACAAGATACCTTTTTTCGTTGTCTTTTTGATTCGGTTATAAATACACGTAGAAGCTTGAAACTTAGTAATAATACTTATATTAGACTTACCTAGACGTGGTAAAATTTTCAAAACAATCGGACGACTTTGTTTTTTTAATAAGCGTTCTGATATCAAATTTAAACAAAAATCGCAAAAAAAATTACGGCATTTCAAATTATGTATTACCGAACTGCGCTCGGAATTGTTTTTCGTCAAGCAATGGTTTATCGTTGCTTACAGATATAAATGAAATAACCTTATGTATCCTACCTTCCCAACTTCCCACCTACAACAGTGGCCGCTCCCATCCCCAGTATCAACTCTTTTTTGTTTTGTTCTTATTGTTTTCGTGGGCCTCGTTAAAAAGTTTAGCCTAGGAGCCTTTGAATGTCTTAAACCCGGCCTGATTAGGCCATATTCTTGCGTGTACGTTATGTTAAGTTAAATTCCCATTGGGTGGCTTTGTATTCTATCGTATACGTGTACTATAGGTATAGGTTAGATTTTAATTTATTGATGTGTTCGCTCGCAGGTCGTTGAGTTATATGCGAATACAATTATTAAAACCCTACTCCTGCCTGAACGGAGCTTTGATCAATTCCCGCCGCATTTCACTAACGGCATGTCGTGTGTTGGTAGCGCGTTTTAATATGGTTTGTTTGTTTGTTTGTTTTTTTTTTTTTATTTAACTTGTATTCGCAAATCGTGCTTGCGTAGTTATCAATCGCAATATTATATATTTAATCGCACGTCGAAATTGAAGTTTTTAAACCGCTTTTCACGTGTCGTAGTGGCGATCGCTGCAAATTGCCCCCTCGCAGTAAACTGGGCACGCAGCTACTCGTATTTGAGTCTGATTTATCATCGAGCAATACGCTGCAGTAGGTAAAATAACGCGTTTGAAAAAAAAAAAATAAAAATAAAAAATGCATAAACAAATTTCTCATTAATGTGTTTTTTTTCTTTATTAACTCAACCGAACGCGCGTCGAAAAAATATCGTGCTATGCAATAATAATATTTATACACGCGCGAATTTCATTATAGTCGGCTTTCATTTAAAATAAAAAAAAAAAAAATCGAAGCAAATTATGACGACGACGACTTGAAGTAGCCGCGGGCGTGTAGTTCGTCGGTTCAATAATTTTTATTAATAAAATCGAAGCTCATACCTGAGAGATGAGGTCATCGCGATAGTGTAAACGGCTGCAGCTGGGTGGTGTAGGACGCATAGGTACCAATATATAGGATGATCAATCCTCGATAAGACACTCTCGTTATCTCGGAAAGTATTGACTTTTTACGGCATTTTTTTTTTGGAAAATTTAAGAAACATTAAGCAGCTCTACATATTAAGATTACTGTTATTTTTTGTCATTCTATTATTCGGCGGTCAAACCACTACACATTTGATTTTAAAATAGCAACCATGTATTTAAAAATCCATAAATATATGTAGTTTTAATTTAAATATGCTTTGGTGTTGACATTTTTTTATTTCCGTTAACGAGCTGACGAAATATCCCACTTTTAAATTTGGGTTTGCGGAGAGTAGTAGTGCCGGACTTTTCAAGGGCCACGCATTCTGCACAAATGGTTTTGTTCCATTACAATATTTCTTCACCTATCCAAACTTATAAGTTTATAATAAACATTAGAAAAAATGTCAACACCAAAAAATATTTTAGTTAAAACTTCATCAATTTAAGCGAATAAAAGAATGGGTAGCTGTTTGAAAATGAGAAGTGGTTGATTGGTTTCTACCTCGAAAATAAGGTCGACAAAAAATAACGATAACGTAACACATTTTCAGAGCTGCTGGTTTCTTAAAACGTCCAAAACATCTGATAAAAGTTGATGTTTTCCGAAATAACGAGTGACTTATCGAGGACTGATCACCCTGTAAATGTGAATACGTTTTCCATTATCCGTACGTGAGCTGTATAATATATTACGCGCTATTATAATATTATAATTATTACGTGTACAATAGTCGATACGATTGTAGTCGCTTTCGTTATGCATTACATAAAAAAAAAAAAAAAAAAAAACAAAACAAAGAGACGTCTTAACGGCTCCATAAAAGGTGTCTCTCGCCATATAATGTACACGGGGTCAGCGGGCGTGCTCGCAACCCGGGAATGGATCGCGGACTATTCAATTACAATAAATACAAGTATATTATTATAAAATTGTATAAACCCGCGTGTATGTCTGCAGTATACGCAAAATATTCGTGAAATGTCACAGTTAGTTCTGTAAAAAAAAAAAAAAAACCCCACTAAAATATCACGCCGGAAAAAAGCGTTTTAAATCCTCCCCCTCCCTCCTTAAAAAAAAAAAAAACAAACAAAGGCCTGCAATACTTAAAATACCAAAAATTGCACTGATTAAAGATATTACGTCGGAAAAAACACATTTCACTAACACAGCTATGAAATTACGTGATTTTTTTTTTAAAGAAATATAATTAATATAATATAGTCTCTATGCATGGACTTTGTACATTGTGGAATACAAATTCCTAGAAAAAAAAAGAAGGAAAATTGTACTATCGATAAAAATTAAAAATTATCGTATTAGATAATAAACCAAGACTATCTTTGACAGTTGAATGGGCTAAACAAAATGGTACGCTTACCTACGGGAATTTGTATTCCGATTCTCGGACAGAAAATAATTTTTACGATGATATTGTAATATTTTTGAAATCTCAAAAGTACCACAAAATACACTATGAACATCGAAATCGTAAATGTCAAAAGTTTCAAAACGGTGTTCATATCGTTTCATGTTTTGAACTTCGCTCTAACAGACTTTTGTTGTCGTATACAAAAACGCTAAATAATAAATGTATTCGTTACACATTGACAGCCCTCCCGAGTTGTGATTTTTGTTTAAATGAAAAGCGCGTCGTGAAACGATTTCGAGACTTTTTTCGTTTTACGTTGGTTTTTGTAGTTTTTTTTTTTTTTTTTTTTTGTATTCATAGTCGATCGTTGTCTACCGCTTTAATAGTTTTCTTGAAATGCGAGTAAAATTCACTCTTTCACTTAATACGCAAAATTTTATATTTATATTATAATGATTTTGTAAATCATGGTAAAAGAATTGCCGCTTATCTTTCTTTTAAAAATTATCAAACCGCCGCGCCGTGTGTTTTTTTTTCTCCTTTAACTACGAACGAAAAACACATGATTATACGTTTATTCGTGGGAATCTACGAACTATTCGTATAATATAATATTATTATAATGTCATTATAGTCTTATTATATTCTTACAACACGTATAGAATGTCTTTTCGGAAATTAAATGCGAGATAACATTCTTTTTTCTTTATGGTAAATTTGGTAAAAAAAAAAAAAAAGGTCCAAAATTCATGTACGAGTAGAATCATATACTGTCTTGAGCGTTCCATGTCAAGGCCACGTGAGTTGAGTTTGAGGAGCAAAATAAAAAATCCGCCATTCATTCGGAAATCCGATCGACTATTATTATTAATTTGACACGCGCGGTTACAGCTGCAATATTCTTCGTCATTTCATCATCTCTCGTTCCACCAAAAACACGAATGTGGAAATGGTATTATGTTGACGCCGATCTCTTCGTATCCCTCCTCCTGCTTCCAACTTGGATTTTTATTGATTTTCTCTCTTTCGCGTAATAATCTTCATGATCATTATCTACATGTTCCGAATTGACAGGCTCAAGCTCGATTGAAAGTACCTAGATATTTTATGATAATCTGTCATTGAATCAGTCGGTAAGTATCGAAAATTGTGATATTTTGGGCGCTCTTATATCTTCGAAAATTTTCCGCCTGAACCTACGGAATTTGAAATGTTGCTTTTTTTGTTTTTTTTAGTAACCTCAACAATCAAAAATGTAGTCCTGTAACGGTAGAAGGCATGAATGTTTTTTTTTTTTTTTGCAGCAAAAACCTTCTACACATTAACTAATGACTACATAATATAGATTATAAACATTATCACATTTGTAAATACTCAGTTAGGCCATTTTAATAATATACAAATATACAAATTTCAAGATATCTTTGAACTCTGAATAAGTGTTAATTCTTAATCGACATTCAACATTATACACATTTAGTGACCCGCCCACGCACCCATTAGGGTGCTTACTACGGATTCTCCAACGCGCGTCGGTACGGAAATTTCGACGCGGTTTCATCATTGCAGCGAACGAATCATTGACGTGATTCGGTTAATTAATGAATTCGGCCGATTCGATGAATGAACCGTGGACTCCGGAAAACGGTTGTTTGTGGGGCATGAGTGACAAAACTCGGCACCAGCAACGATAATTTCATTCATTCGGCGGTCTTTGAAGAAAATCGAGTTCGTCAAGTCCGTCCGGGCGGCAGAAACGCACTCGGCCGTCCATCGGAATATCGTCGGAAATACGCGCGCAGAGAGTATAACCGCGGTGTTCCGACGCGGGCGTTTCGCGCGTACTCGTCAGCATTTGTATTATCCGCGTAGTAGTAACCGTCGGACAACCCGATCGTTGTAATATTATCGTTTTATAGCGCGCGTAATGCTCGACTGTACAAACAATGAAAAGGGAAAAAAAAAAAAACGGGCGAATAACAGTCGCGTACAACAGCTACGTGTCTCCGCCGCAGGGCCGTCAAAGGGGATTTTTCGAATTTTTTTTACCGTGCGAACGCTCGTGTTTTCGCGGGAGCCCGTAAATAGCGCAAATAGCGCAAATACAACGGCTACGGCGACCACTACTGCGGCGATATAGCATAAATATTATCGCTATCGGGCAATAACAGTGCGGCGGCGGCGGCGCAAGAAAGGCCGGCGAGTCGAAACGGCGCGTCGTCCGCGCGACACTGCCGGTCGTCCCGGCCAGACCGGAGCCGCCGCATTCCACGGCCCGCGCGCGACTTCCCGCCGTCAGGTTGGTACAACGAGCGTGCCCGTGTATAAAAAACGCGACGCGCTCGCGGGCTCGAAGTCGTTTTTCCCGGAGACGAGCTCCGCGCGGCGGTCGCCGTACCCCGTCCGCCCGCTTACAGTCGGCGCGCGCTCCTTTGTCGTCGTCGCGGTCGCCGCGACCGTACGCAACGCCGCCGTTCGACGGCGATGATGATAATAATAATAATAATAATAATAATAATAAAATATAGTCGCCGCGCGATAGTAACAATATATCATAATATCGTTATCGCAAATGCCGCGCCTCTGCGGATACCGCGACGCTTACGATATTATACGGCGCGCTCGCCTCTATACGGTCATAGTGTAAATAATAACAACGCGGTATATAACGCGCGGCACAACCCGGCGCGTCGTCGCCGTTCGCGATCGCATCTGTCGCCCGTGCAACGGGCGTAACAATATACGGGCGTGCGATTGGTGGTATACCGACGGCCGCGGACGAAATGCCCCGAGGAAAATGGGACGCCGCGCGTTACGCGGGGCGGGGGGGGGCCCCTGAAAAATTTTGCGCGGCCCGCGCTAAAACGTCTGCGGTTCAATTACGGTGCGTTCTAGAGAATCCGACATTCTACGTTTTCAATGAGCAAATAAAATAATACAACACACGCGACCAGAACTTTTGAGTACCGTTCATCTTATCGTTCTTGTTTATTTTATCTGTCGGTTTTTAACTTTAACCGAATTGCCGGTTCGACAGATAATCACAGGTGGGCGCGACCAAGAATTTATTTAATAAGAAAAAAAAAAATTACACGCTCATAGACGTTGTTTTTTTTTTTCTGGTCAGGTCGATTTACCTCTACACTGTATGCGACCCGCGGGTAATTCTCAAAAATGTATTTAGCCTTTTTTCAAAATCCCGCAGTGGTGACCCCGCTGCCGTAGACCATCCGCCGGTACATATTATAATAACGACGGTGTTTTGTTAAAAGACAAGTCTATCAAATTTCACTTTTTTAATTTTTTCAATTGTCTATATTTAAATACGCCATTTTATCAGTTTTATGGTACTAATTTTTCTGATTTTTTCGGATGCAAAACGGTATTTTTCGATTTCCAGTGGTATACGGTATCCTTTTAACAAAACACCATCGATATTAACGTGCACGTTCTTTTTAATAACAATTATACTAGGTAGCATAATAACGAATACAACTATATTTTATATATAATTGAAAAAGTATAAACCAATATCATTCCTCGTTGCACTGGGAATCTTAAAGTCGAACGTAATGTATAGTAGCTAATTTTTAGATTCCGAGTGGAGCTTATGATTTTACAATGATATTTATTTTTTTATCTGTCGACAATTTTTCTACCAGAAATCTTGTTCGGATTTACAAGCGTAGTACTTTTACTGGGAGAAAATCTGACCGGGGTAGTACTATAATAAGGTAATTTTCGATTTTTCCAGGAGTTTTCCCAATAAATTGGAAAAACGTTTAAAAACCACATAATTGGTACAACAATAAACAAATATTAACTAGGAAAATATATTGCGCGTATATGTTACGTTATTTCACCGTAATATGGCGTGTATATTGTTGACAAAGCAATAATATCATCAACTAAACTCCGCTCAAAATCGTTTTTTCGTTCGCAAAATGGTTAAATCGTTGCAGCTTAAAATTACCCAAAACGGCGGCTACGGCCCGTTCCTACAATCGTAGGACAGTTGTTTTTTTTGTTTTTTCTTTATTATTAATTTTGTTCGCATAATGCGCGTCAAAGTTTGACGAAAACCGCGAACGTCGCGTGCGTAAACGCCCCGGTTATTGCGTTCCATAACGCCGCGCGTTTCGTAAGTAACGATTTTTGCGTTTTTACAACAATAGTCATCGCCCGTTGAACGGGATCATTTATAATGTAATAAAACGGAGTAACCGTACGTAGGCAGCCGGGATAATGTAACGACCGCGGGGAAAACTGTGCCGATTTTCTCGTCCGGCCGCGGTTTGTCGCGATAATCGGTGCAATTACTTTCGGCGCGCGTGCGTGCGTACGCACGGACACGTTTCGTCCGCGGCCATTTCCGAACCGGCCCGCGTTACTTACCACCCGACCGTCTGTCGGTCGCGGCGCGAAACACCGGGTTCTCCGTCCGCAGTACCGGCGCGTTCGAACCGTCGGTTTTTCTCTCTCTCGCCCGTATGTCTATGATTACGATGCCGGGGAAGCGGCGCGATGAAAAATTAAAAACCGTATTTATTACCCGCGCGCGTACAACGCAATACCGTACCCGGGAGCGATAATATTGTTATTGTCGTTACTATCGCCTTCCGTTTTCGCCGTCGTCGTCGCCGTCGCCGTCGTGCCGCCGCGTGCGCGATAATAATAATAATATCACGGACCGCCGCGGATTCGGACGGTGTAAAAGAGACGGTCCCGCGGATAATATTATTTATATACGACGCATAATAACGATAATAACGATAATAATATATTATGCAGCGAGCGCTGCGGAGTCTGCGCGCGAGCGGGGGNGGGGGGGGGGGAGAAGACGGCGGCGGCGACGACGGCGACGACGACGACGACGACGACGACGCGTATCGTACGGCCGTCGGCGAACGAGAGAGAAGAGAGACGGTCACGGTCGAGATGAAAACGCATTTTTTCCTCGAGGCGAGTGACCTTCGGGCGATCTGCACCGTCGGCGGCGGCGGCGGCGGGCACGTTCAGCCGGTCGGAACAGGGGGGGCTCCCGTACCGATATAATAAACGAGCGCGCGCGCGTACGTCACTCCCCCGTCGTCGCGCCGCCGTACGGAAAGTGCCCGTGCGGCGACGAGGACGACGGCGACTGCGACGACGACGACGACGACGGGAATTCGTGGTCCGGAAAGGTATGCGGTATCCGGTCACGGGAAAGAACTTTGTTGATTTTTTTTTCTACTCCGCCGTTCATATCCAATAAACAACACCGGCGGCTACGGCAATCGAAATATTATATTATTATACCTGTACTTGGGTTTTTTTTTATATATATATATAGATCTTATTTTTTTTTTCGCCGCAGGCAGATCATACTGTTCCCAGTAAACTGTGCGAACGAACGTTATACCCGCGCACAAATAAAATGGCGTATCGACGCGTCGGCCGCAACGATAAAAAAAAAAAAAGTCTAATAACGTTATTATTACACTCGGTCCGTCCACGGTGCAGAAACCGAATGTACAGGGCGCGTTGGTTTTCAGGGGCCGGGGAGCGTAGAAAAAACCGCGGCCCGGGAAATAAAAACCGAAAAATCGTGTTGCGATAAAGACTAGAAATATTTTCGCGTGTAGCGGCGGAAATTTTATCAGTTTTACCGGGGTGCGGTGTAAAAACGTTTCCCAGGCTGCTCGCGCCGTACAATATTAGAATATTAAACATGATTATAAAAAATACTGTGTACTAAAATACGCGGATATTAATTCGCCCGGTGGTACCCATATTTTTCGATAATATTAAATCATCGACGCGCGAGACGCAGAATATTGTCGGCGGGTGAAATAAAACTCGCGGTGTAACCTGTACGAAAATCATTTTTTCTGCGGCGCTCTTCGGTAGATTTACGGACGTAATCGCGCGAATGTGCGCCCCCATAAATAATAATGTAGCGAATCACGATAAGTTCGACGACACTGTTGTTTACGATGGTATTGCAACAACACCTGTGGATTCGGTTTGTTTTGTTTTTTTTTTTTTTTTTTATGTATACGCCACTGCAAATTTATGCGAATCACAACACGACGCGTATGTACCCGTGTGCGTGTGTGTATGTGTGCGCGCGCGCGCGCTGTTTTTTAGGCTAACGGTCTGAGATTTATGCGATAGTGATGACGTCAATAATAGCGCCGCGGTAATGACTTGAATGTGTGTCTCGTATATTGTTCGATAAGTATATTATATTGTAACAAACGCGGAGAAAAAAGCGAAAGCCCCGTCCGCTGTGACAATAATGGAAAAATAAAAAAAAAAAATAACAAACAAACTGCTGCACCGCCATTGTGTGCTGAAAACGCGGTGGCGTCATTTCGGCTTTTCTCCAGACCGAGGCGAACGTTTCGTGTGTAACTTCGTGATGACGCACCAGACATTAATAAATCAAAATCGACAATAATATTATTGTATGCCAACCCGCGCGAATCGCAAAAAAAGAAAAACTGCAAATTTCGTTGTGTTTTGTTTGGTTTTTCTTTTCAAAAACAGTAAGCATAGCGGCAAGCGGCCAATCGGTTGAAATCGGAATAGAGAAACGTACCGGAAGAAAAAAAAATCGTCCGAGTATGCGCTTCGGGCAGTACTTGAGTCGATTCTGCGCGGGGTTTCCGTGTACTCATTCGCGTTTTCCTGGATCGTGCGGGTCCCCGGACCAAATGAACCCAGACCGGAGAACCGGCGTCGTTTTAACGGCGGATCGGAAGCGATAAAATGTCCGGTTGATTTATTCGATATGAATTTCGCCGTGTTGTCGAGGGGGAGTGGTTGTTTCGTTAACTTCAAAAACCACTGCGGGACGTATCCATCGGGGGGGACGGCATTTCCCTATACGCTTGGCGGGGTTGGTATCGAAAATGGGTTTGTTGGTGGTTTCGACTTTCAATCGCGCGCGCGCCTATACAACGAATGCTCGAATCTTACCGTTTATTTTTTTGCGAGCACTTCAGCTGTATAATTACAGTTAGGTATATACTGTTCGTTTTCATGCTCGGATTTCCCTGTACATTTTTTTTTTTATCGAACGTATGGCAAATACACAAAGTTGAAATCTACAAGTTTTAGTACATTACGTTGTCATTCGGTTATTGATTGTTTTGCAAAGAGTGTGTGTTTAGTTCTGTGATACGCGAAAACGGGCGGAGTGAAAATCGTACCCCCCCCCCTCCCATCGACGGGGGACCCGTCTGCTGTTCAACTACGGTATTTCTCTCACTCGATATTCGCCGCGAGCGCGCCGCCGACATTTTATAATAATACGGCGGTTGATTAAACATATTAACATACTACCTGTATACCATTATACTTGAGTATACGCGCGTCGTGTATAATTCTTGTGGTGCGCTCGTCGTCACGTCCACTCGATTATCTGACGCGTTCGCACCGTATTAAATTATATTATATTTGCGCTTGGTTTTCGCACGTACTTGGCCCTCGTGTATGCTCGCGTATACGCACTCCGCGTTTCCTACGCGGGCTTATACAAATACGAGGCACGGTCGTTCGATACGTGTTTTTCGCAATACGGCTATACGACGTAGGCGCGTTATTTATCTTGCGCGCGCACTGTAACGCGGAGAAAACCGTCGGGTTCGCCGCAACGACAATATTGGTATATTTTATACTATTGACGCGTGTAATGCGCACCGAAACGCATAATACAGCAAAATCGTTGAATCGTTTGCGGACAAAAAAAAAAAACGAACGAATAATCGATTACGCGTGGTGAAGCTCGGTGGTCGCCGACGTTCTGTTCCCGGCTGAAACGAGAAAACAGACGCCGAAGCGTTTCGAAAATCCACCGTCAAGTTTGAAAATCCGACTTCGAAACTCTCTCCCCAACCCCCTCCTCGTTGCCGTTGCAGTCCGCCCGCGACCGGAATTGCAGATTCCTGCGTGTTACAGTGTTTTATTTTTATTCGTAACAATTATTTCAGTTGGACTGTTTGGTAATCTAGAAAAACGTATCGTTCAAAGTGCGCGGCACGATCATGCGAACTGCGCAGCTTCAAGTTTCGCCGATTAACCGATACAGTGTTTTCGGAGACGGAAAAATATAATGTCCCGTAATGCGTTTTCCGCACAGAATCTAAAATTAAACCTATCATGTATAATATTATAATGTACAGCCTTCAGTGGAATAATGGACTAATCCAAAAAATGTTCACATTGGATTAATGCCATTAATATCATCCGTAAACCGTTCAATTAATGCAAAATCGGTCTAAGCCACCTTTACTTAATATTCGCTAGATGGCAGCACTTAAATGCTTTAATGCATTTTAACGTGATAAATAATTTTAAGAGCAAGAATTTAAGCTAGAAACTGAAGCGGGTTAGTCTATCTTTACGTCCATTTTGGGTTAGTCAATTATTGCACTGAAGGCCTCGTATTATGTCCGAGCAGTGCTCTGCTGCACCACGGCGTGCTTGAAGTAAAACAAAGAAATTCGGGTCCGCCCGAACAAAAAGTGGATTTTCACGCGTAATACGCATAATTACAGCAACAATTTTATTTGGCTACGTTGACTACGCAATATAAGCCATCGTATCCGTCAGTAGATACTTATAGTGATAATATAATACGCAAAACCGAAAGCATCTCTGATCTCTGAACTAGGCAATCTTAATCAACATTCAACGACATATTCGATCAGCCACCCGTCCGACTATTATATTCACGAGGCGATCGCCTCAAAAAAAAAAAACCTTTGTCTCGGCACGCCACTGTATACGAGAGTGCATCATAGGTAATTAAATAAATTGTTTGTCGAAAACAAAACGCTGCGATGACCCGGAAAATTAGCACGCTCGAAAAGAGATCTTGCCGTGTATACGGTTATTCGATGGATCGGATTTATACAATAATCCCGAGGTAAACTTGTGTGAACCGTAAACGTATACAGTGTATTCATACACGTGCCTACGATACGAAATGAATTTCACTTGTCGTCACGAGCGCACGCGGATTCCCGGGTGAAGTGAACCAAAAAGAATACAAAACATTATCCGCCCGACGAAAAGAACGTCGGCGAGTTCGCATTTTAATTTGGCGTGTTTATCACGCCGCGGTATTTTCATTGTAATGATATTTCCATCGTTATTATATACGGCGACGGCGGCGACAATACGGGTACGAATTATAGAGCGGTTATGAAAATTCGACTTTCTTGACGTTTGAAACGCACAGGCGATGTTGGATTAAAAAAAAAAAAAAAAATATTATAATAGTTTTACAGGACACTGTTTAAATGTATTCCTTTCGTTTATTTTTCGGTACCTCGAGACTATGAATTAAATTTGATTTTTTTGTTCAGACTCATAAACGACATGTAGAAAAGGAGTTCCGACAGTACACTTTAACGTTGAATTTTAAACATACATTACATACATTCGAAATAGTAAAAAAAAAAAGTCGATTTCTAAACTTCATCCCGGTACGAACAGTGCAGTGTTATTATTCAATATTCAATGTGTCCCAAAATTATCACTGAAATCAAATAACTATAGGCCTGTACAATACAGGCAGTGATTATTGTTCAATTAGTCAATTTGCTATTATTTCTATTTAGATACTAATCTAATCTTGTTCATATAATATATGTTGGGGGGGAGGTAGTTTAAGTATTAACTATTACATTGTTATACGGGTACCGACGGTTTTTTTTTTTTCTGACCGACAAGTAAAGAAATTTGAGTTTAGTATAATAGATATTATTTAAAAAAAAAAAAAAGTTTAAGGGAAAAATAAATTTCCGATGTAAACTCCTCCTTCTCCCCACCCCACCACTCTTAAAAACGACGCCACGCGAATATACAGGTATACGTGTCAGAAAAATACGATTTTCCAAATGGTTATTCGGAACGTAATTACAGTATAATACGCGCGGTATTATAATAACGTTGCGGGTTCGTGTGTAATAATATCATAATAACGTGGATATACTGATGCTGATTCGTAATTTCGTAAATTTTTCGCCAGTAAAATAATATTGTAATATCTGTAAATACAGACGTGTGTGCGTGTGTGTATTCAGCACGTACTGCATTTTACCTGTGCGCGGTATTATGCGTTTATTATTGTAATTTTTTTTTTTTTTTTTGGATTTTCGAAAACCGCCGTTCGAATGCGAATATAATGTTGAAAATCCTAAATAATAATATATTGTTGTAACGCGCACAGGTCAGTGGCGAGGGCAAAGTTTTTTTTTTTTTTTTTTCTAACCGAAATTCGTATACAACTGCGTAGGTGTATACCTATACCGATATTATTTTATTATTCGGGTCACGGTCGTGATTAACGGTCCCCGACTTTTAAACTTTTTCTCGACGGCGACGAACATAACACGCGAATCGGACGTACTTCTTCTCGTACATGTCCGCGCGATTTGACAAAAAAAAAAAAAAATAAACATTTATAACCGTGGTGTTGCGTAGACAATACGGTGAAATTCGATGGGATGACCAATCGTATTCGTTCAATTGTTCACCAGTTCCCCCTGCGTTATACCCGTCATCGCGGTTTGCCGCGATAAAAAAAATCCTCGGGATGTTCGCGAGCCGTCGGATTCTGCCCGTTTCGTATAAATACGTTTTTTAACACGTTGAGAGGACTCATCTGTCGGCCTCGGTCCAACTGTAACGGACAACGTAGCGAAATTACGTTACACGCGCTTAGAACGCTAAAATAAATCGCGGACTTCAGGGACGAAATCGCACAGTTTAAAGACGAGAACACATTTTTCGAGGGCCGCGCGAGGGGTTTTTTTATTTTTCGAAATATTCTCACGCAAAATAGCCATAGCTATTATTTAAAGAAAACCAAAACTAACGTAGCTAACTAACTTCTGACCAAACGCAGTCCGCGCAAGTGTTTTTTACTAGATCTTGTGTTTGAAAGACGGAAACGACGAATGCACGTGTCGGTACCGTCCTCTCATCAACTGATTTGGCGGGCACGGCGTCCTCGCGTAACGCAATTCCACGTGCCAGTGTTTTAGCCGTCCGTGAAAATTATACGCGAACAATTAATTAATAATTCGACGCGTTCGCGGTGTCCCCCGCGATTCTGCGAATCGAACATTTGTCGAACGTTTGAGTGGATTCTCGTCGACAAATCGCGCGCGCAATACCGTCTTTTTTAGTCGAGGGTTCGTTCGCAATCGTGTCGATAATCGCGAAACAGCGTCTGAACGTACGTATTCATCGCGATTGAATACTTCGGAATCCTCTCCGTTGCGATTAGGTACGGCGGCGGCGGCGGGAACGAAATATTTTTATTTCAACTAGGTTTTCGGTATTTGTCAGATTTTTTTTTTTTTCTTATTATTCTTTTGTGTTCGGATCGGATCGGTTCGTGCGTGCGCCACGGAAACCGGAAAATCGACGGTCCGCGTTCGGGAGGTATACAATCGCGAAGTATTTCCGTCGTCGTCGCGGTCGGTCGCAAAGTCGGTTTCCCCTTGGCCAGGTATTATAATAACACGGTGACGCGCAATAAATCGCGTCGGTTTTGGATTACAGGCGTCGTCGGTGGAGCGGCGCTACACGCAGTTCGTCAGATCGTCATGAAAAAAAAAAACGTGAAAAATACGCTTTTTAAATAGCTTTTTACTGTTTGCGTTTATGCGGCCCAATCAGAAAAACTAAAAGCAAGACAATGCACTCTGGTACGTATTGTATTTCTGTTACTGTATGGACCGGCGAAATTTCAAAATGGTCTCCTCGAAACGTCGCACACCCGAAAAAACCCGTTACGGTTCTGGCGTCGTTCTGGCTCGACGTTTCAGGGATATACCGTAATAATATGGATCCGTACCCACTCGTTTGTGTCGGATATAATGTCGCAATACAAACGCACGCTGCGGACCCGACTGCAAAATACGGCGCGTTATCCGTTACGAAAGTTACAACACTGTATCGTATTTTTTTTGTTGCGACTTTTCAACTGTATAATAAAATATACCTATCTACTCAAAGAAGTTAAAGGCAATGCCCGTCGGCTTCGTAACGTCATTATATCATTATTATTATTATCGCGGTTATTATATCGCGGTGTTGGCAACAGTGCGGCGAGATCGTCCGCGGCTGCAGACGAGTCACTGTCCGTAATGGGGCGACAATAAATCCAAATGTCGGCGCGGCAACAACACCAGCAATAATAATAACAATATTTACAATCAGCAAACTGTGACCATATTTGGCGTACACGATTACGGTCGGCAGGTATACCGCGCGGTATACTCGTGCGCCGCCGACACCTTTCCCGAACACGGTCTCGCATTTATACGGCTTATTATTATTATTATTCTATGCCCGCGTATGTGCATTGTTGTTTTGGCGTACAGAGCGCCGGTAGGGGCGGGCGGGGGGAAATTAATATCGGCCGATAAAATATTTTACACATTAATTTATATTACGCGTTTCGCGTCCCTACTCTCAGCTCCCGTCCCACACTCCCACCGTCTAGCCCCGAAAAACCGTACACGACGACGGACAGTCGGGTTCGTCGGAGGTTTTTTTTCCTCTCCGTTTTTCGTGTACATAATACACTGCTACCCGGCCGCAGTAATTTCCGTCATCATTATTCATTAATAATAAGACGGCACCGCGAAATATAATAATAGCCTAGGCAGCGCCTAATAATAATAAAGCCGTACGATTTTAGGTAGGTAATAGTAGTAGTAACTAGTAGTAGTAGTAGTAGTAGTAGTAAACTGCAGTGGAGTTGGTAATCGTTTTGCACGAACAGCTCTTCGCAATAACAACTGAAATATTATAATGTATACCCGTTATAATAGGTACCACTGGTATTATGTTTTAATAAATAGGGACCGGATTTATGCGCATTTTTCTCCTCTTCCGTATAGCGGTTAAAAAAAAACTAAACCAGCTTGATCGGATAGAAATATTTTAATCCCAACGTGTTTCGGTATTATGGTACACTAATAATTATTGAAAATTTGTTTGCCAAATTTTTTCGACGCGTAACATACAGACTCGATCGTCAGAACCGACTTGTTCCGATCACCGAAATACCCATCATAGACTCGTGCAACTATAGACGGGCCATTCGGTACGATAGCGCGTGCCAGGGGCCCGTGGACCGAATGTGGAGTGAAGCTGTCCTCGGGGGAAAGTTTCTTTCTTTCTCACACATCACAGTCTGTGCGGCTCTCTCTTGTGATCGGTTTGACGCGACCACACCTTCTAGTCCTCGGACATAATTTTTCATCGGTATATCTACCCAAATCTATCTAAAAAACGGACAGAAAATAACGATAACCATCTTCCGACTAAATCTATGATATGATTTCAATTTCAATTTTTCAATATATTTTAATGGTTGCCACTAAAAAAAATCTTTTTTTTTTTTATTGCAATAATTTATCGTGGCTACGTGTGTTAACTAAATAATTACCTACCGGATATTGTACGTCTTATACCGACTTCCTCCTTTCCCAACAGTGAGATTTTGCCGAACCAGGCACCCTAAACCCTAACCCTTACTCAACGGACTGTTCTGAATTAATCAGAGACTTTGCGGTAATTATGAACTCGAACGAAATTAACATAACGTATACTTAAAACCGTTCATATCGAACCTTACAATACTCATACATATTAATGATATGGGTATTCAATATTATTTTCGTTGATGTGAATATTGGCATACACTGTAGTAAAACGAACGATTACAAGTCCTACATACTTATTACCTATCCTATTCCAAACTCCCTGTATGTCCACATTGTCGTTCATCTTGTACCGCGACCTACAACGGATAAAGAACGCAGTGGCCAATCCAATATTTTTAATATCTATGCAGATATTTGAATTTCCAGTCGCGCCGGTGGTTGGGTTAGGTTAGGTTATCGAATGGTTATCGAAACATTTGGACGGTGTTAGTGCAAAAGAGTTCGTCGGATTTTTTTCTTATTTCATAGTAACGTGTTTCGTATGCAATTTTGTGCCGCGTCTACTGGTACCACTAGTTTGAACGGATGTAGGACCGTTATCGAGTTATTGATAGGTTTATATGTGTTTTATCACAAGTTGTGGTGCCTAATTAAATTTAGATCGTGAAAAAGTGCTCAAGCCAATGTTGTTCTCGGTGTAAAAGTTTTTCGACCAATTCGTCTATTTTATCCTAATATATGATCCAAAAGATTTCCGATAAGTATCGAAAACCGATAACAAAACGGAACTATAATTCTGCACCGGTTTTATTTCATTTTTGAAAATCCATTATAAAAGCTCAAGAATGGCTTGATTTTTTTTTTTTTTTTTTTACCATTATTTTCCCTAGTTTTCCTGTGGTTCTGTAATTTCCGTAATTTTTTTGCGCATGTTTTTGGTTTTTGTAATTTAAAAACTTTAAAATTTGTTTTTATGAAATCGCGATCACATATTCGTACTTTGGTCTACATTCAGACAGATACACTGCAGCCATATTGTTTTACCGTCACTGAAAATGATCGTTCTTTTAGTTAGAACACCGGCACGCGCGCCCTCTCGGTTATAATAATATTATTGAAATACGATATTATTATATTATTGTATATAATTATAATGGGTTACGTGGCCGCCGTCGTCGTCGTCGTCGGAAGAAACGCGGAGGTTTGCACGAGTTCTCCGCAGGAGAGCAAAAGCGCAGTCTGCTGCCATAATAATATACGCGACCATAATAATATTGTATAGGTACTTACGACTATGTATCTCGGCCGAGACACGGGTATTAGTTTTATAATTTTTTTTTTTTGAATTTTTTTTTCTCTAATACGCCCTCTTCCTCTCTATCTCTCTCTCCCCCTCCCCCCCTCCCTCCTCACTCTCACTCACTCACTCTTTCTCTCCATCTCGGCTAAAATTCATGCGCATACCGATACATACACTGCGGCTATATTCCGTGCAGCGCGTTATAAATCAGGTTTGCAAGAATCTGGTTCACGTTTAGTCGGAAAATAATTATTACGGATACACGTCTGCGGCGGCCGCGACGACGGCGACGGGAACCCGCAAACTCGGTTGTACGGCGATTCATACGATAATGGCCGCCGCCGCCACACATCTTCGCGCCGACCAATTTTTATTTCAATTTTTTTTTTTTTTTTTTAATTTTCTTTGTTTTTTTTTTTTTTTATTTCATCGAATATACGAGTGTAAAATAATATAATAAAATAACGTTTAAGCGTAGTAATAGGACGTACTATCGCGGCGAAGGCCGTCGCCGGCTGTACGCCGCCGCGCGTGGACAGTACGCGACAGTCATGGCCCGTATTGCTGAGTATACTTTTCTGGAGGGGGGGGGAGAGGTGACGAGAGGAGGCCGTAAACAAATCGGTCGAACGGGCCTAATTTGATTGCGTAAAAATTACCAAATCGATAATATTTTGCGCGTACAAATTCTTACTCTATATAATATGTATTTATCATACTTGGGAGGAAGAAATGAGTAGGGTTGAAATCGACGAAAAATACCACGATCGTCGGTTTCATTAAACATTATAACAATAATTATCATTAAACATGTGAAATTGAAAAAAATGAATTACGAAAATTGTTGTCCAACGCCAATAATTGCTGCAGACGCTTACGGTTTTTCGCGAAATTCGTGTTTTGATTATTCCGGACAAACAATATTTTCTGTAAACCAACGTGATTGGGTGACACACAAAAAAAAAAAAACAATACTAGATATTTATTCTGATTAAAAAACAATTATAGACAACTCCGAAGATTTTAAATTAATTTAAATAATAGCTTCCAACCGTTGAATAAACGGTAAAAATTAAATCGCGGAAAATTGAATCTATTTTTTTATCCCAGGCGGGTTTCGTTATTATTTTGTTTCCTAAAAAGTTAGTTTTTGGTAAAAACGAGCCGTCTACAGGTTATTGCGCAAAGCTCTTCAATTATTCACGTACGGCGATAAAATGGTTTACGGTTTTTTTTTTTTGGTGGGTATTTTTTGTCCATTCGAAATCGCGACGTGGGTGTAATAATAATTGTCGGCCGCCACCACATAATATTATGCACCGTCGTGAAGGCGGGCGTCACCGAGAATAAAACGATATTTCCGCCCCGAAACAAGAGAGAAAAAAAAAAACATTTTATACTAACGTTTTTTCACTATAGTTTTTAAAATAGTATTTAATTTATCGCCTCGTTGCTTTCCTTTTCGCCGCGAATTCCGGGCGAGTTACTCGAGGATTTAACTGTTGACTCGAGTACAACTCAACAGGCGACTGCCATATTTTCCGTTTTGTATAACAGATTCGAGTGTTTTTAACGAACTGTCTTGGCCACATCGTTTACTGCAATCGATCGTTTGATAATTTAATGCATTTTTCGAAAAACGCGAGTTGTAGGAATCTGCGAACAATATTACAATAACCACATTTTCCGTGATCAGTCAGATATACTGGACATCCGTTGGTAAAATACTGTTCAGTGAACAAAACGTTTTGGTGACGTTGCAATCAAGTAGCAAACAATGCAGCATTAACTCGAAAATCCTTCGTTCCGAATCATTAGTGACGCAGCTAACGGGTAAAATGTCGACAAATCGAGACTCGGGAAGCCCCAATATCGGAGGTTAATCCCCTAAATGTAAGTCGACGCTCGCAAGACGAGCAACGGAAGTTCGTTTTACAAGGTTTTTGGTAAAATACGATTCAAAGATAGAAAGTACCTAGGATTATTATTCAGGGCTGTTTAAACTGTCGAGAGTAGTCCCCAATTCGTTTTCGACTTTAGGGCCTTTTAGTGTGGTTATTAGATTCCGAGCTAAGCGAGGCGTGTTATGGTTTTACAAGGATGTCTTTTTTTGTGTCTGTCAACCACTTTTCTACCATAGATCTTTCTCCAATCAAAAACTTTATAAAGAAATTTCTTTTCGCATTTTTGATCTTGTTGCTGCAATGATGAGATCATTATTTGATTTTTTGTATAGTTAAACGGAGAATGTTGACAGTTTTTTGTGTAGTGTTTATCGATTTATTGGTAATTTTGGCAACGAGTGGATAAAATAAGACAAAATAATATTCCGCTCAGAATCGTTTTTCGATAATTTATCGTTGCGTACAAATCGAATTACTCTGTATGTCCTCTCGTCCGGCTACCATCCTAAAACAGAGTTGCACGCCTATATCATCAGTATCGGCCATTTATGGTATTAAAATCCATCGAATAAAAAAAAAGATTTACGAATTATACGAGTATCCGGGGAAACTCGTAAGAAACTATTATTAATTCGCGTACAAAAATCTCAATCACCACGCTCATCACACACGCCGTATCGTATTTACGGAAATCAACGATCGGGCGGTGACTAACGACCGTGCCGTATAATTTTATCCGATTCACTTGGAAAAAAAAAAAATAAAGAGAATCGCCGAAATTTAATTTGTATATTATATAGCGTCGGTGCGAGCTATAAAATAATAAAACTTTTTTAGACAGCACAAAACTATACTTTTTTCTTGAAAACTGATACGTATGAAAATTTAAAAACCCGTCTTGAATGTGTTACCGTTATTTGTCCGTTTCTCCGCCCGGGTTCAAAATTTCATATCCGCGGGCGCGCGCGCGTTGTTGTAGTTTTTTTTTATTATTATTTTTTTTTTTTGTCCTAAACCGGTGCGTCGTTGTCGGTTTTTTTAAAATTTTAGAAAAATGTTCGGGTTCGATAGGTAACTATAAAGTTATACGAGAATATTCGATTCTCGATAAGACACTCGTTATTTCTCAAAAAATTATTAACTTTTTTCAGATTTTATTTTAAGAAACAAGCATGTCTATAAACAGTGTTACGATTTCTTTACTTTTGTCACCTTTAGTTGTGGGAGTGAAATACCTACGTGTTTTTGATTTTCAAACGGGAACAACCTGTATAAAAAATTGTGATGTTAACCGATGGAGGTTGGAGTATAAGTCAAAATACATTTTGATGTTGAAATTTTCGATTTCCGTCCGATTTCGTCCGAGATAATTACTTCTAAGTTTAGATTGGGGGAGAGTGGTGGAACATTATTTAAACGCCGTGAGTCGTGTCGCCACACAAATAATGCTCCACTACCCTGTCCCAACCCGAACTTAAAAGCGGAATATCACGGTGACGGAAATGAATAAATTCGACATCAAAATGTGTTTAAATTTCATCTGTTTCGGGCATTTTCAATGCAGGCTGCTATTTGAAAATCAAATGTAGGCAACCGATCTAAAATACGGGCGACAAAAATAATGAAAGCGAAACATTTTATATATGCTATTGTTTGTTAAACTTTTATAATAAAAAAAATTAATATTTTCCGTGATTATGAGTGTCTTATCCGTATCGAGGATTGATTCATTCAACGTCTAAAATAAAGTACTGCCGAACACACATGTTTTAAAGAACGATATGAATTTCCTCTAAAAAACACCGTATAGTAAAACGTAAGCGGGTTTTCTATGACTCCGATTGAGGATGTATGATGTTCTCTCTCCCACAAGTGACATTTAAATGTATAGGATGTTTTGTTTTTTCATCATAAACCAGCAATTTTCTCGGAGGATTTTAAATGAATTTGATTTCTGTTTTTTTTTTTTTTTTTTTTAATCGCTGTGGAATCTTTATTTTTTAAGTTTTTACCCCTACTCCATACACTTCAAATGAATATATTCTTTTGCTTTTCGAATAGAAACCCCTCATTTTGAATACGGACTCGAGTGGAAAATAGTTTTGGTATGCACACCACTATGTAATATCAGATTTACCGTTTATGAGTTTAGGGAACAATTTATCATTTATAAGCCTTCCCCACTCTTTCGGTCTATAAACTTTAAACGGTAAATATTAGTGTTATGCGTATCAAAATGTCTAGAAAAATATTCTCTAATCGAATCTGTGTCCGAAAAGGTGGTTCCTATATGAAAATCAAAAGTATATATACTTATTTAAGGTATATAAATGGAGTAGGGGTATGAGATTTAGAAAAAAAAACAGAAATCAAATGTACGTAAAATCCTAAGAGAAAATTGCTGGTTCGTGTTAAAAAAAAAAAAATACAAAAATCCCGGCTACGCGCGTGTCCCGAACGCGTTTGCCGATTGCCGGGTAGGGAAGAAAAAAAATCGGACGTTGCTCGTTCACGGCCAATAATTCGTTATCAATGATGGACAGGGAAAAGGACGAAGTCCCGGCCGCGAGATTAAATCGACGGAATGACGTCCGCCTCGTTTCGACGACAAACGACTCGAGCGAGTCCGGTAGATTTTTTTTAATTTTTCTGTCCCCTCGGCGAAGCGTTTATGCCGACGGACCGTATTATACACGTCGTGTACACGTGACGGACAAAAGCGTGGGGGCATAAGGTCCTCGTGCGGCGGCGGGGGAAGTGAAGTGTCCGTCACCGAAGCTTTGTGCGGCTCGAGGATTTTCCGTCTACAATATAATATATGGCTAGGCTCCTCTCGTCGCGTATACGATAACTCGTTGTGGATGAATATTTATCGCGAGGTTTTTTTTTTTAAGTATTTTTTTTTACATTTTTACGTTTTGTCACGTTACAATATATTTTTAATAAACGACGAGTCATCGTCTTCACGATTGTCGTCGGTCGTGGGCAGCGACAGCAACTCCGTCAGAAAACCTAGGAGAAAAAAACGACGAGCGACAGGTGCTAGGAATGAATCATTCGTTCGAACGAATTTATTCTGATGGAAACATTGTGTTGTTCCGGATAAATTTACACGGGTCTTAGACGACTGCGTACATAATATTAGTATAAATAATTTATCGTTGTGACAATCCGGAATGAAATAATTGTACCGCGGGGGAGGGGGGACTGTTCGCAAAGAACCGACAGACGTTTTTGGTCGACATAAATTCGGACCTCCCAAGCTAAAGGGCCGAAAATCAAAAGTGACGGTTTAGAACATTGCTCTTCAGAGCTTCCGTTATTTCGGGCGCGTAATGTGTAGTTTAATAATTTATCTGTATATTTTTAAACTATATACGTTGCTCTTGCACGGTTTACAAAAACCTTGGGTTTTAGATTCTGAATAGAGCGAGAAATGTATTGGTTTTACGACGGTATTATTATTTTTTATTTTTATGTAAACACTTTTTCTACCAGAAAGTTTACTCCGACTATCAAGTATAGCACCTTTTCTGAAAGGAAATGTTCTCTGGCTGGTATACTTTACAGTGGTTATATTTTGAAATTATCATTATTAGTCGATATAATGAGAAAAACCAGGTTGTTTAAGATAAAAAAAAAAATTGAAAGATTAAATAAATGGTTATCATTGGCACCCTTTTTGTCTTTTGGCTTTTGTTATCATTAAATTTTTATTATTTTGAATCTTTTTCAAACAATCATTGTTGTACTCAATTTACCATAATGTAACATATATCTATATACCATTGACGAAGCAACACTATCAACTGAACTCCGCCCAGAATCGTTTTTTCGTTAGCAACGGTTTTTCGTTGCTTGCAGATATACCCGTTAAATTCCCGTTCGTATCCTACCTTCTCAACTTTCCACCCACAACAGTAGCTGTATCCACGTGCAATGTATGTCAGTATTTTTTTTTTTTTTTTATATAATTATCAAAAATTCTACAAAATAGTTAGTTTTGAAGCATAGGTTTTTGGCGTTTGTTCATTTGTTGAAATCCAAACAAAGGACACGGAAATATATTTGCGCAACACCGTGATAACTGTAACCGCGGTTCGGGGTTGGGTTGGACCATCGTGTACGCAGAGCAAAAATAAATAACAATATTTATTCAACAGCGTATTGGGCTATGTATCAATATAATACGGGCAAACAATACTGGCTTTCCGGCTTAATAAATGGCGTGGAACTACTTAGCTGTCTGCTCCAGTTGACTAATTTAAACTCGCCGCCGTATACTCGCGTGCAGTGGCGCTCTCCGAATTAAATCCCCCCGGGAGAATTTCGTTAACAGAAAAAAAAAAAAAAATCCAAACTGTTCAAATCTCAGATGATCTCCCCCAATTTTTACTGTATAATTTCTGTAATCTCAATTTACTGTATCGGTTAATAACTGTGTCAATATTCTTTACTAAAAACATTTTTTTTTTTTTTTTTTACAGACCACCGGAATACTGACGCTGTTCAGGCGCACCTGACGTCCGCGGTGTACCTGACCGACTGTGCGTACGGCGTAGGCGGCGGCGGCGGAGGAGGAGTCTGTTGTGGTGGCGGCGACGGCGGCGTCGGACCATCGCCGTCTACGATGAAGTCGTACGCGGTGACGGCCGAGTCCGGTAGGACGGACTCGGAAACCGATTCGGACTGTTCGAGAAACACGACGGTCGCAGTAGTGCCGACGAGAAGGGCTACGCCGGGCGGCAGAACGGACGAGGTGTGCAACCGGAGCGTGCGCGACAAGATAGCGATGTTCTCGCGGGCCACGACCGCGACCCCGGGCGCCGGCGAGAAAAAGGACTCGGTGTGTTCGTCCGCGTCGTCGTCGTCGTCGTCGGCGTATTCGACGGGATCTCCGGACACGTCGCCGGCCGCGTCCCCGAAGGCGGCGTACTACAGCACTCTGCCGCGCACACCGCAACATCAGCAGCACCAAAATCAATATCAATGGCCACAACACCAGGCGCCGTACTCGCCGGTGGTCACGGGCGCGACTGTGGTCGGATCGTCGCCCGCGGTGGCGCGTTTCGTGGGGGGCACAGACACGATTGACCATCACCGGCGGTCGCAGAGTCTGGTCGAGCAGCCGTACAGCAAGTACTTCAACACCATGAACGCGTACGCGGAAATGGGACGATCGTCGCTGAACGCTCTTATCGAACAGCGCAGGCGGAGCATGTCCAAACTGCGCGGACTAGTCATACCGGAAAAGAACGGCGGAGGGACCGTCGGCGCTGGTGGCGCCGACGATCGTTCGCATCCGGCCGCGGTCATAGCCGACTTGCCGTTGCTGATCAAAAGTCCGGACGACCGTCACGACGGTTATGACCGTGAAGACGCAGCCACGGCCGCCGTGCTGTGTCCGCCTACCAAGACGTACGTAAACGGGCCCCCGCCAGTCGTGGGCACGGTGACCAGGTACGCGAACCCGGTGAAGACGATAGCCCGGCAACCGTTGATCGCCGTTCCGCCACCGCAGTCGCCGCCGCCGATCGCCGCCGCCCCGGAACAACGGCGTCCGTCGTCAACGTCGTCTTCGCCATCGTCTTCGTCGTCGTCGTCTTCATCCTCTTCGTCGTCGTCGTCGTTGAACTCGAGCCGCGAAGAACTGCGGCACATACACGACGAACGGCCGCCGTCGTCGGTCATCTGTAAGTCTAAAAGCTCGTTCAAAGTGGACAGCGACGAAGACTCGGCGCTCAGCTCGGGCCGTTCAAGCACGTCACTGCAACCGTACTCGCCCGCTTCGTCGCCGCCGCCGCCACCGCCCACATCGCAGCCGCCCATGACGTCCGCGGCCTCGCCCAGCGGACCTCCATCGACGCCGGCGGCCTGTGCTGCCGAGACAGCGGGCAAGCGCGTGCTGAAAGCCGAGAGCGTGGAGGCCATCAACCGGAAGAACGTGCTGTGCTCGGCCAGGATCAGCAGCGGGAAACCAGAACCGCCTGTCGTCCCGCCGTCGTTTTTGTCGTCGTTGCACGCCAACAAGACCGCGGATTATCACTATCAATACTCCGCAGACAACGGTTTGCCGGCAAAGTCATCAACCGCGTGCAAGACCGCCGCCATCGGCGCTGCAGGGTCAGGTACCGGCATAATCGGCAACAGGTATACGCACAACCGCATGTCGTCCATGGAGTCGACGACCAGCGACGATTCGTCGATGCAGTACGCGGTCAACGCCGAACCGTTCGGTAGCATCAGTTCGCTGGCGTCGACCACCAGTCTGATATCGCAACATGAACTCCAGCAGCTGATCGACGACGCCAATCAGTCGACGTTGGAAGATAACGGCGTCAGCGCAGGCGGAATCGTTACGGCGGTCACGCCCGTTCCGATGTCCGTCGAAGTGATGGTCGTCATCTTGCACCGGGACATGGCCACCAGCAGCGTGGGCATCACGTTGGCCGGCGGTGCCGATTACGAAACGAAAGAAATAACGGTAAGTCGGTCGAAAATTGCCCCGTCGTGTTATATATTACGGTGGTTATTACCGCGGTACCGGTATCTTAATAATCTTGTCGTTGTTCTTCTTCCGGCTGTCAGTCTTTCGATCGTTCAACCGCAGCTGCTTCACCGACGAATCTTTTAGTTCTCGACGGATCGATATCCTACCACTCCTATACTTCCTTAAGGATTTCGGACTCTCCTGATTCAAGCGCCACGTCATCTGCTTTCACCGCAGTCGTACGAGACAAGGTTCCGTCAATTTCTCCTTTTAAATTTCCTTTTTATGCTGAACGATCCTTTTTTCATCACGCGACTCTCCCATCACATCCTACCGCTTTATCCAATCACACTCAATGCTATCTCTATAAAGAATGTCCCGCGAAGATTTGATCGTTGCGCTATCTTGGAAAGCATTAAATTTGTTAAAATTTAAGAAACAAGTAGCACTCAAATGTTACATTACCTTTATTTTTTGTTCCTGTTTTTGGAGCCGGACCGACTACAAAATTTTGATTTTTAAACGAATGCCAGTGCTTCCACAAATAGACGGTATATTAGTTTAAATAAACTTCGGTGATGACATTTTTGATTTCCGTCAACCCGTTGACGGGTCATTCCACTTTTAGGTTTGGGTAAGCGGAGGGTAGCGGAGCATCATCAAACGCCGCGCGCAGTGTCGCCACACAATTGATGTTTCGCTACTCTCCCCTACCCGAACTTACAAGCGGAATAACTCGTCAACGGGTCGAAAGAAATCGAAAACTTTCAACACCAAAATTAATTTAAACTAATACCATTTATACTACAATGTTACATAAAGGTTGTCATAAGTGGATCATAGGTAGGTCGGTTCAAATTGGAAAAACAAGGGTGAAAAAAAACAAAGGTAATGTAACATTTTAAAGGTACTCGTTTCTTAAGTTTTAAAATACGAAAATTCAGAAAAAATTCAATACTCTCCAAGATAGCGCAATAATCGTATTATGTTCGTGGGACAGCCTGTATGTAACTAGTTGCGCACAGAAGTCTTCGGACGCCCGAGACTGCCGCAAAACCTTTGTCCGTCCGCGATCGCGGTCGATGGATAAAATATTTTGTGTTTCGACGGATTGACCGTTGTTCGTTGTTTTCGCAGGTGTACAAAGTGTTGTCCGGCAGTCCGGCCGACAAGGACGGCCGCATCCGGAAGGGCGATCGGATATTGTCGATAAACGGCAAGAGCATGAAGGGAATCACGCACCGGGAATCATTGGCAATACTCAAAGTAAGATTTTACGTGAAATTGTAAGTCACAATAACGTTTTGCTAACGATTTGTTTTGTTTTTTTTTTTTTTTTTAGGCACCCCGGTCTGAAGTAGTGTTGGTCATATCGAGGTGCAAATTGGACGCGGCAGCCGTAGAAGCCACGGGACAGCCACAACCCGTCGACCAGGCGACTTCAGCCAAAAACGGTAATGGATATTTCACGACGTATTTTCTTCATAGTACTAATTACACGTACTTAGACTTACTTACGTTTTTGTATTTCCCCACAGATGTGATCACCGATCGGGTTTTCGGACCGATAGCCAAAGTGACGTTGTCCAAAGACGGCACCGGGCTGGGATTCAGTTTGGAAGGAGGCAAGAATTCGCCGACCGGAGACCAGCCGTTGACGGTCAAAAAGATTTTCACCGGTCAGTTTGGATGATAATATTACGCTATACCATGTTACGGGTTGTACCGTTTGCGTCCCGTTTTGTGAGTGCGATTGCGTTATGGGCAATTTTTACGACATTTTAACAATCAAACAGTTTATCCATAAAATACACGAAAATCTAAAGGTGCCCTCCGAAGTCGTTCTACCGTTACTCCGATTGTTGTCGATCATCATCCTCCCCCTCGGCTAATTTTACAGCCCGGCCACTGTTGTGCCGATCGATTTCGCTTTTACTCCAAAACCACTTCGCGGTATCCATTTTCCGTTTCGGGCGAACGAATTGCGAATTATCGCGGAATAATAAATGACTGCGATACACGGATTGCGGGAACAATTTTTTTTTTTTTTTTACAATTTTCGCGCACGTTACCTACCGTTGTTTGTTGTAATCGTTTCGAAAACGCCGTCGAAATTGCCTACACCGCATGCGACGAATTCGGGTGTACACGGTCGACCCGTCGGGAAGTACCCTACGCATGTCTGCAATGATACTGTTATCGTTTTCTCAGGTGGTTGCGCGGAACAGTGCGCGCAGATAGCGGCCGGCGACGAGTTGGTGTCGGTGAACGACATCGACGTGACCGGCATGTCGCGTACCGAAGCCTGGAACCTGATGAAGAGGCTGGTGAACGGTACTGTCACACTAGGAGTGCGTCACGTAATCTAAAACACCCTGAAACGTTATCATTATTATTATTATTATTATTATTATTATTATTATCATTATTATTATACAAATACTACTACCATATACCGTATTATGGCGTTTGACGAATTTACGTACATCGTTTTGTGTCCTAAGTTTGTATAACTTTAAAAATATTTATATACGTAAAATGACGTTTCGTCGTCGGAAATTATACTTTCTTTTTTTTTTTTTTTTTTTTTTATCATTTTTTTTTTTTTGTAAATTCAATATTTTATAATATTATATTATTGACAAATAAATAACTAAATTATTATTGTATGAAATTAATTATTATTTGTACGACCATCTAAAATTGTTTTGTTATTTGTAAACGCCTGTTAACTCGGTGACTTGTCGGGCGACCAATCTTTATAAGTGTCCCGGTTACCAGCAGTGACTGTTTTGGTTCTGCTGGCTAATTCTAACGACAAACTCTATTTATGTATTTTTTTTTTGTTTTCCTAATTTTTTTTCGTTGATTCCGTACAGAACTACCTGTTTATTTTTCCTTTTCAATCTTAATATCGTTTAATTGTCTAAATTACCCTATATCATATACCTTTGAAATATCCTACATACAACAGTGGCCTATCCTTGGTGCAAAAAATGTTTTTTTAGTTTCTGAGCAGAATTAGGAATGTATTGGTTTTACAATGATATTTATTTATTTTTTTATGTGATCACTTTCTATCAGAAAGATTACTCCGATTATCAAGTATAACACCTTTTCTAAAAGGAAATGTTCTCTATGTGGTACTTTAGAGAGATCGTTTTTTGAAATTTGTATTGATAGTTTAGTTAATGCAGAAAACCTGGCTCTTTAGGTTAAAAAGATTGAAAGATTATAAATAAGGTTGTCATTGGCGATCGGTTTTAATTATTTTAACATTTTTTAAACAATCGTTGTTGTCATGGAAATACACATTGATGTAATCATTTTATCATAATATGACTTATTATATTGTTGACAAAATCGTTTTTTCATTAGCAATTTTTTATCATTGCTTACAGATATACATTAAATTCCTGTTTGTATCCTATCTTCCCAACCTTTCACCAATAACAGTGGCTGCTTCCACGTGCGAAGTATGTCAGTCATTTTTTATTATTTAACTAAAATTAGTATATTTTAATATAATTTACTTTATTTCAAACATTTATCGAGATTTTCAGCAGTTCACATTGCCTTTTTTTTTTATTTCTGGGTTACCTTGACATCAAGGGAAAAAATATGCCTAAGGTTTAACGATTTATTGTTTCATACAATCTATAAATTAAATTACCCTATATATCCTATAAGTACTTATCTTCCCAACTACTTATTTGCAACAGTGGCCTACCCGTGAGCAGTATCAACTTGACATTTATGATCCCGCCCCCGAAAAAAAAATCCTGATTGTGCCACTGGATTCAGTTGCCTATCAACACAATATCTATTCTTATAAACTTAAGATATTAGGCTGAATAGTCAAATTTATTGAAATGCATACAAATATCAATAATATATTACAAGATTTTATCTGTCCTCTTTCCAAACTATTTAGAAACATTTAAATTGTACTAAACTCCTATACAATTGTTTTTCATTTATAACTCATTAGATTATAGGTATTGATGAAAACCAGTTAATAGAAGAATATAACTATTTCTCAGAGTATTAATGAACTTCTAGGTTTAAGTCCAAATAATAATCTGAGCTTAATTCTTTAAATTCACCTGTGACAAGATAAAAAAAAATAATACTTAAAAGATGACAAAATAATAAATGTTGAAAAAATACTTAATATATATCCAAGTCATAATTTAAGATCTAAATTTCTAAATCATCATCTTGTTTGTAAAGCATTAGGTGATATTCTAGCTAAAATAAGTATTACTTGATTATTTAAACAAAAAACAAACATTACATTTCACTGAAATGTAAGATTGGTTTTTTTGAAAATACAAATTTTAGATAACAATAAATACACAGTTAAGGTTAGCCATGAACCAATGTAAATTTGGAAGTTTAATTTGTATATATTACAAGAGAGAAATTGATATTAACTATTGATTTATTCGTCAAATCAAGTGATTGTTTAAATACATTACTATCAGTCGCAGATTTTCAATATTTTTCTGAAAGGGGTACTGAAAAATAATATGTATTTAAAAGGTATCTCTATTAATAGATGCCTCTTTTTTGGACAACATTTTATTGAAATATCAGTGTCTGATCCTCTGGCCCTCCCGGTTATAATTTTAATTTTAAAATTACAATTTTCTATATATTTGTTTTTCGACATTATAGAATGAAATAAAAAAAAAAAAATATGTATATATATAAATATATAATTTTAAATTTTAAACAAAATATAACCCATTACATTATAGTATCTAATTATCTACAATACGAGCGGACTATTAAATTGTATGAATCTAACTTCTTATGCGTTATTAATTTATTAATATCTAATTGACAATAATAATGTTAACATCTTTATGGAGTATATTTTCATTGGCAATAGTAATTTTTAATTTTATTTATGAAAACATAAAATTTAAAAACAAAAATCAAAATATATTAATAACATATTAACAAACAAAAATACGCGCACAGTTTTTTAACACTTATTATTGATTAATTTTGGAAATTTCTATTTTACTTAAATTATTTTTAGGTACATTAATGTTCGGCAAAATATCAGTAATAAGACCGGTGGCCACTGTTTTCCCGTTTTCACGTATTGTAAATGGTTGTCCGATGGACATAATCATTTTGTTCAGCAGAGTAATTTGGATATCGCCGTGTTCACCAGGCATTATCATGGATGCCTCTGTATCGATATCAATTCTAAAAAAAAAAATTATGTGCATTAAGAACATAATCTGTATACTAATATACAGTTAAACAATTAATATAAAATATGTAGTTAACCTGCAAACAATGTTCCACGTATGGCTGAACAATTGTTGCTGATAATTTGACGTGATTGGTTTTGACCGTCCGCCCTCGGACCGCGTTAGAAGGTAAACGGTCGCTTTGAAACAGTTGTTCAGTTTTAGAGTGTTGGTCGGGCACAATATCATCCCTTTACGTACCACTTTGGACTTTATGCCCCTAATTAGTATGCCGACATTTTCTCCGGCTTTTGCGCTGGGCACGGATTGTTTGAACACCTGAATATCGCTAACGCTCGTCTCGATTTTTTCGTCGAACCCCAACAATTCGACTTTATCATTTCGACACACCGTTCCCCTTTTCAACGTGCCAATCACGACTGTGCCTCGGCCGGGCACAAGCAAACAATTGTCGATGGGCAACAAAAACGGCGAAGTGGTGTCTCGCAGCGGAGTAGGTATGGAGTCGTCCACGGCGTCTAAAAGCTTACGTACGGCCTGTTCGCCGTACGCGGACGTGTCTCCTTTCAGCGCGAGCAGGGCCGAACCGACGACGCACGGGATCTCGTGGCCGCTGAAACCGAAATCCGTCAGCAACTCGCGTATCTCGAGCTCGACGAGTTCGATGACATCGTTGTCCACCACGTCGGCCTTATTGATGAACACCACGATGTGCTGGACGCCGACCTGTAGGCGGGACGACAGTCGGGTAAGTACGCGTGTCAACGTGACCGGCGGGGATTTGTTTTTTTTTTTTTTTTAACAAAATAACAATTCAACTATATAGGTAAGTACTCGCTTGTTTGATCAACAGCAGGTGTTCGCGGGTCTGCGGCATCGAACCGTCCGTGGCGGCCACCACCAGTATGGCGCCGTCCATCTGCGACGCCCCGACGATCATGTTTTTCACGAAGTCCGCGTGCCCCGGACAATCGACGTGCGCGTACTTCCGCGCGACCGTTTCGTATCCGACGTGCGCTATGTTAATCGTGATGCCCCGGGCCTTCTCCTCGGGGGCTTTGTCGATCTCGTCGTACTTCACGAACCGCGACAGGCCGTCCTTTTCCAGCACCTTCGTGATGGCCGCCGTCAGCGTTGTCTTGCCGTGGTCCACGTGTCCAATTGTACCTGCGCAATATTAAACGCATCATTATTGCGGACCATTTATACTTACACCGTTAGGGCTGTACCGGGTCATTTTTCGGAACTCACCGACGTTGCACGTAGGTTTTTCAACGGTGCAATACGACCGTTTCGCCGCGACCCTCTCGTCGACCCTGAAAAATCGATTGTACAGATAAATCCTCCGGCACCACGACACGTTCGACGTGCAAAACGATTTCGCAAACATCGTAGCAAGGAATGCGAGCGCGATACCGAAATTCGTCGTCGCACAATATTTAGACGAAACGAAACGAAAATCGTCGGCGCGTTATCGGCACGATGTTGTTATTGTCGATACTGTTATCAACCGACAACTATACGATAACCGCGGTGATAGCCGTTATCACAGCGGTTATCATGCAGTTGACGGCGATGATTGCCGGTCCAGTGTGCGAGGCGTTGTGTATAGGCAGTTTTAATGACATTTACCAAAAAAAAAACTATTCGGAATGGTAAGATTGAAGAATTAACAATCGGCTGTTTCTCTTTTCCCGGTGTTACTCGAAAATCGACAAAAAAATTCCCGACGCATAACCGGTTTTATTATTATTTTTTTTTCGGAAAAACGCTTCGAAATAAAATATTTGCAATTTTTTTATTTTTAAATAAAATACTGCCGTGCGGAAATTACGCCTCTTTTAAAGAACTCCGTGACAGAATCTACGGTACGCGTGTTATAACTAACCAAAACGCTATTTTTTTACACGAAAAATAAAAACAAATCTTAGTAAAACTAATTGACCCGACGCCATACTCAGAATTCGAAACACATACAACGTGACGTCAGAAAAACTGATTGTATCGAATTATTTTCGGTTTTTTTTTTTTTTTTTTTTTTTTTTTTTTTATACACGTTCCGTGGATGTCAAACGAGAGAGGTTCGTGCGCGCGTTACCGAAAAACGAATTGTACAACTTGCGGCTAAAACGAACGAAAACGTTTTCAATCATCTTTGGGCCGAACCCACGTGACGGACGACGGCCATTTCCTTTTATTTGCCCGGAATTCGGTTGTTTGTTGCTGTCGGATTTGTTTTTCGATTTTGCGCGTCGATGGACGGTCGCCTACCGTCGCTGCCATAACCGTAATGTGTCGACATTTGACGACCGAGGGGGGGGAGGGGAGAGGGCTGGTGGGCGGCGGTAATTTTTAACATTACCGCCGTAGCGGCGCATCCGATTTTTAATCCGTGCAACCGTACACGGCCGGGTATATCAGCCGACGGCCGCTGCTCAAGAGACCCGGTGTGATCGGGGGCGAGCCCCGGACGCGCGTCAACGCGTCGGAGCGTTCGGTCCCGCCGACCACTGCCCGATTCGCACACGCTTCGCCCGCTTACGGGTTCAGTCGCCGTCGGGCGGGCGGGCCCCCGGCTGTCTAACCGCCGCCGCCGCCGCCGCCGCCGCCTGCATAGGAATAGTATAAAAACCGCGCGGAAATCGTCAATGCTTGTTGGTGACCCGTAGCGGTGATATTTCCAACGGTCCCTTGTGAACGAAAAAGTTGTTCTGACCGCGTGCGTCTCGTCGAACCGCCGGCCGCTCTATTTTCGGCTGGTGTGTACGCGTCATTACACGTACACACGTATTTCCCATTATTTTAGATTCTGATCGGAGCGAAAAAGCTCATGGTTCGGACAATGGTGTTTATTTTTTATTTTTTTTTTTTTTATTTTTTTTACCTGTCAACGACTTTTCTACCACACACGTTGCCGCGATTTACAAGCGTAGCGCTTTTTCCGAAAGGAAATCTGACTGGGACGGTGTTTCAGGGAAGTAATTTTATTTTATTTTTCTCAGCAGTTTTCTTAATGGATTGGAAAACCCGAAAAAAACAGGAGGACGGGAAAATATGTACAACATTAAACAAATATTATTAAAGAAAATGTTTATTGCATACATGCAATTATTTTACTATAAAATGGCATAAATATATATTGTTGGCGAAGCGTCATTATCAACTGATCTCCGCTCAGAATCGTTTTTACATTAGCGATGGTTTATCGCCGCTCACAGATATACATTAAATTCTCGTCTGTGTCCTATCTTTCCAATTTCCCACCTAGAACAGTGGCTGCGCCCGCGTGCGAAATATGTCCGTCTTTTTATTATTCTGTTGGTTAGTTATAATTTATGTTTTGACAGTTATTGTTATTTTCTGTTTTGATAAGCACATCACGACACAATACAACACACAAACTAATATGTTATTTATCAGATTATTACGATATCTAGATACCATAGATACCAGTTTTTATTTATGCTTCTGTGATCGGTTTCTTTATAAAGTTTAATTATACTTTTTGATGCTACTGTTACGCGCTAAGTAAACAGAAATGATAATTATTTACCGAATGCGTGGGCGATGCCTTTGTTGTTTACAAGAGTACGATAATTATTTACAAGTGGGAGATTTATAGTAATAATTATGTATATTTTTTGTACATAAAGTACTTTAATAAAATCATCTGATTTACAGAATATAATACTATATAAATGTCAAATGTAATCAGTATTAGGCGTTTTTTTTTCTCGATTGTTAATGCCGACTCGAGAGAAAAAATCCGTGTTACAAAAATACTTGAGATAAACTTTCACGGTATATTAAATACAGAGTGGTTTACGCAACGCCTAAATTCGTTTCAATTAAAACTTAATGAGTTTACGAACTATTCTACATGTATAGATCGACGTTTAAAAATCGAAGGTTTGTGTATAGTGCGGTTTAGCCGTCAGACATAATATAAGAATGAACAAAATAATTATGGTAATAAAAATACAAATTCGATAATCGTTCGTATTTCGAATTTCCTAAAAACAAAAATGTCGATAAAATCTAATACTTATAGAGATTTATGCTCAGAAAAAAAAAAAAATTATATAATAACTTATTTACACTGCACTTCGATAAATATTTGCAATCGTTATTTAAAATTAACATCATACGAGTTTCTCTAGGTGAGCGAGTCTCAGTATAATCTGTAATTAGATGATAACAATAATAATACAAAATATATAAACGATTAAAAAAACATATTTACTTTAATTCATTTCAATTTTATACGTGTAAATTTATTTAATCCGTTCATTATCTTAAGACGAAAAATATTTCCAAACAAAAAATATGGTAAACTTACAGTTTTACGCGCATACGTTGAATGGGCTCGTTACGATGATGTTCGAGTACAATACAGTAAATCGTAATTTGTGATGCTTCGTAATAGATATTTTTTTGTCTTGCCATTTTACAAATTTGACAGCCAACCAAAACTCAAACTGGTTAAAGCAATGAAAGTTTTACTATTGACCGTACTTGCACTGTTACTCTCGTTGAACTTGGCGAAATGTCAATCGTACGACTCCGGTCACCGTCATAACACTGACGATCCCTTTTCGTATTTCGGTTCGAAAACAACGTACGATGCGGTGTCTGCAAAACAAGACTTCACTCAACCAAGTAAGTATACCAAGACCAAAGTAAATACCTACAAATATTATGGACGTAATAGCGTTATGAAGAATTTAGTAATTTTTTAAATTTTGAGTGGATCGAAGAAGCTTAAGGTTTTACAAAGATGTTTATTTTTTTCCTGTGAACAATTTTTATACCAGCGATTTTGCTTAGATTTACAATTAAAACACTTTTTCTGTGGAAAATCTGACTGGGAAGGTACTTTAAGAAGGTCATTTTTTCGATTTTCCCAAGAGTTTTCCCAGCAAATTTGAAAAACCGGGAAGAAACATAGAAAACCAGAAAAATTTAGGAAAAATGGGAAAATCAGATCAATATTAAACAAAAATATTATTAAAGAAAATCTATAATGCCTATTTTATTATTTTACCATAATATGACACATATATTGTTGAAAAAGTGACACGGTCTACTGAATTCCGCTCAGAATCGTTATTGAGTTGGAAATTGCTCACAACATTAAATTCTCTTGTGTATCCTACCTTCCAAACTCCCACCTATAACATTGGCTGCACCCGTACCCATTATCCTAGAACGGATTTTTTTTTTTTTACATTGTATTCGTGCGCAAATTACTGACGGTAATAATCAGATAAAAAGATTTCGGTTATGAGGAGTTACGTTATAAAACGTGATAAAACCATGCTTACACGCGTGAAACGGACAAAGTACCAATTAACAAGAAAAAAATAAAATAAATAATATTATAAAGATAAAACGCACCCGAAAAAAAAAACAAGAAATATTTCAAAAAGGAATTTCACGGGTATACAAAATATAAATCTGCACGAAAATCAGCAAGGAAATTTCAAAATGTACATTTTTTTTTTATCCATGTACACAATTTCAAGTGGATCACCTTTCAGAAAGCAAATTTTATTTAACTAGTACTTAAGTGAGGTCATTTTTTGATTTTCCAAGCGGTTTTCATAATGATAGGAAAAATGTACGAACATTTTGTTTTTTTGTTATAATTCAGTTAAACATTTTTCATAGGGACTTGAAGTTTCAAAAGAAAATTTATATTTGACTTATTTCACATTTCTATATTTCTAGACGTGGTCAAATTTTCAAAACATTCGAACTTTTTTTGAGCTGTTTATAGACATTTTAATTTTGCGAGTTTTTCACGTATGTTTTTTCGTTTGACTAAACAAAAATGCTTGAAAATTTAATTGAAGGTTCGTCTATAAGTTGTACTTAGTGATCAACAAGAAAAAGTTGAGTTTCATGCAGTGACGCTGTGGACCATTTTTTTTTTTTTTTGTGGGGGTAGGAGGGACAAATATTATTCACCTCATTTTAAAATCATTAAAATTATTAAAAGTAGTAATTTTTTTTTATATAACAATTTTAATATCAAGTTTTGACGAAAATCGTAAATATTACTGTCTTACATATGTATAACCGAACTCTACTCAGAATCGTTTTTCGTTAGTAATGATTGATCGTTACGTACAGAAATACATTAAATTCTCTCTATATCTTACCTTCTCAACTCTTCATATACAATAGTGGCCCATCCATCGTACGAAATATAACCGTTTTTTTCTTGGTTTTATTTTTTTTCATACATTTCGTTAAAATATTCTACTTTTTAGCGATCCTTTAAATACTGTGCGTGCGCCGTCATCCTCTTAAAATCCGCCAATGCCCGAATACGTTTCTTTAGGTAAAGGCGGGCTAGGTAACCAATTTGTTTAACTAGTTTAAGTTGAGTTGTTCCAAAAAATTAAAATAAGAAGTTAATTTGAGTAAAAAATTTAAGTTACAAATGTTTAGAAAAATAAAAAATAAAAAGTTAATTTTTTTTTAAAATTACTTACTAAACTCGTTAGCAGTTTTTTTGTACATTGTACTCGTTGAATGGAAAACGACTAACCAATACAAGAATCGCGTGAGGTCATATTATGTCCGTTATGTGATAATGGTATTCATATTTTCCAAAAAAATACATAATTTTCGTCGAACAATATATAAATACAAAAAACATAGGCACACAGTTTTGTATACAAAATAGTCGTTTATAACTTTTTAGAAATAACTTCAGTTTTAACATTAAAGTTTTAATTTTAATCAGTTTTAAAATTATTTGTTAAAAGAAATAATTAAGTTATTTTCTAACATTCTGTTTTTTTTTCGTTTAAAAACTTAAGTTAGCTAATAATTTTAAGTTAACTTTCAACTCTTTAACTATAGTCACTGTTCAGACAGGCAAACAATAAATAGAACAATAAATCATAGAACGTACAAACAAATCAAACGATCAAATGCCTACAATGTTGTTTAAGCTCGACGAAACGCACACAAAGTATCTATGCGCAAATCAAAAACGTCCGGTTCATTAATTACAACACGTTTTACGAAAAAGTACACAAGTCGGTGACCTTCAAAATAATGATAATGAGTACTTACATCCGTATCTACGGGTTACCTAGCTATTTGAATAGTATTTAGAGCAATCGAACCGTCGTCATGTAAAACAATGCGGTGTTCATAATAGTACGGTATTGAGTCGGTAACTAATGATCTACTTGTTAAAGTATAAATTGTGTTATTTTTGTTTTTTTAATTTTTCCCAAAATTATTATTATTATTATTATTATTGCACTGTATTATGTCTGTTATGTATATGCAGGGTGTCCCAAGAAGATATACGCAATATTTTTTTTAAGATAGTAAAGTAAAGATAATCAAATTCTGTTTTTTTTTTTTTTTATATATATATATTACTCAAGGCTAAGAAATCAGACGAATTTATATTTGAATTAAATTTTTAGACATTGATAAAAACAATTTTAAAAAATAACTTTTTTTTTATTGTTTTCAAAAAATTTGAAGATAACCTTTTTTTTCTAAACTTTAAAAAATTACGAATTTAATGTAAATAAATAGTTAAAAATCAACATTTTCAGAAGAATAAACTCTATGAAATAATCTTCAAATTTGTCGAAAATAATAAAATAAAAATGTATAATTTAAATTTTTTTACCAAAACATAACAATTAAATAAAAATAAAAATATTGGTAGTCCTTATCGCTGTGAGTAATTTTAAAGAAAAAAACGGAACTTGATTATCTTTATGATCTCCGGAGATATGACAATGGATAATTAATGTTCGTGGCGCACTCCCTGTACAGTTAAAACCTCCTCTAACGGGCACCTTTCGGCTGACGTTTTTTTTGGGAGCGGATACATTTTCACTACTTTTTAACGGGAAAACTCCCGAAAGTGGACACTATTTTAATTTTAATTAAAAAATAGTAACAAAATGACGATACCAAAACGTATTCGCATAAGTATGTACTCTCGTAATAATGTAATAACGATAACAAACTCGATAAGATTATGAATAGCGGACACCTATAATTACAGTGAATTACAGTACAAATTCCATATAACAATCACCGTAGGGATCGGAAATAATGTCGGCTATTTAGTGGTGACCGTCTTTTAGAGGTGTCTTGTAAAGACATAACACTTGACGGAACCAAAAAAAAAAAAAATGACCGTTACAAAAAGGTGACCGTTAGCGGAAGTTTTACGGTATTATTAAAAACAATGACAAAACGGTGACAGCGTTAGGTTTAACGATAATGGACTCGTTCAACAAACTCATTATCGAACGGTACGATAAGAATACGACGACTAACGACGGTTATGACGAAAATTATGTCTTGGCTGCAAATGTTTTGTTTGTTTTGTTAGTCAGTAATTTACTTTTCGATAAGTGACGAGTGAGTATGACTTTGCGATGAGTGGACTAAAGCGGAAGAGGTTGTCGCTTCGAGAAAACATCGGAATTCTCGACTTACGTTAAAACAACAGAAATGTAGGAATTCGTTTTCTAACAGGAATTTTTGAAGTCAAAAATAGTCAATATTACATTTATATTACATTTTTATAACAAGATTATAATTAAATTTAACATACCGCAAATGTTTTCATTTTACGCATTATGAATTTCAAAAATTTAGCCCTCTGAATAACGGACACTTCTGAATAGCGGACGAAAATTCGGCGACCGAGGGTGTCCACTATTCAGTTGTTTCACTATATTTCCCGCTATTTTTGAATATTTTTAGCAGTTCTTTCCGGATCAAATGAGCTTAAACTTGGAAAGTTGAAAAGTTATTTTATCGGCGAGTTAAAGTGATATAAACCATGGTTGTTGAGGGAGAAAGAGTTTTTAAACTTTGCACACACCTACAGACCGCTTAAATGAAGCCAAGGTGATGCAATTTTGTATATGCATTACAAACGCACTTATCAATGATGTACATTTGAAAGGCTTCAACTTAAATCTCCGCTCTTACTATTTTCAGGCTTAAATTTTACCACTATTTCGGATTTAATGCAATTTTGTAATATTATATATTACTATAGTATTTGGTTATTTATAGTTTTAGATAAACTACTTCTGTAATATAAAATATACGAGAGTAAATTCGACTCTATAAACTTTATTCCTCGATATAATAATATTATGACGTTAATATCAGTTGATTAAACATATTAACACAGTATATTATACTGAAGTACACGCGTCACGTATAATATTATTATGCGCTTGTTGACACGTTCACTCGATTATCTGATACGTTGGTGCATTAAGACAATTTTTTTTTTTTTTTGATAATGGTCTCCAAATATAACCACTCGACCTACTTCTAGTTTGATATAACCCCGAGCCTATACGCAATAATGGGAAGGAATAATGTGTGCGTCGTATATGTAGAGCAGCGGTTCCCAACCTTTTTCAGCCTCGGAGCCTTTTTTAAAAAAAAAGTTTCTCGTGGAGCCCCCATAAAATATTTAACGTTAATTTGTATCTGCCTATGTTCTATCTTCTATGAAGTATAATAAACACGAATTGTATATATACAAGAGTCAAAATAAAATTATATTTTTGAATACAGGTGAAACAATAGCAATAAAAGAACTGCAAAAAATATTATTTATTATTTAAATTTACAAAATGTCTTAATGTGAGCATTGGGCCTGCTTTTTACTACTGAGTTTGTCGATGTCCGGTGTCACAGAAGTCAATTGAAGACGCATATCGTTTTCTGCATCCAAACGTGCTCGATATTTTGTTTTTGTAGCTTCGAAAAAGCCGTTTCACAAAGATACGTAGTACCAAAAGGCAGTAAAAGCAGTTTAGCTTTTGAACTTAATATTGAATGATCTTCCCCTAATTGAGCCCAAAATTCAGNGTTTTGACGTCACTAAAAATGGATTTATGATCCATTCATAGTTTTTTCGAATTGATTCTTGAGCATCTTTTGGAAAGTATAAATTCAAATTTTGAAGCAAATAATTAAGGTGTTCTTTAATTATTTCTAATAATGGTTCATTCATTGTTAAATTGTTTTCTTGTAAAAAGTTTGAAGTAATTGAAAAACATGTCAGGTCTTTTTTGTCGACGCTTTCAATGTAGAATACTATTTTTTTCTTTAACGCAAAATGTTATCATTAGCATCAAATATTGTCTTATGTTTTCCTTGTATAGATGTGCTAAATTTATCATCGTTTCGTATTATCTAAAATTCTAAAATTAGATAATTGTATACAATTTTCTTATCGGTATTTTACGCAGTATACATATCGGTGAATTATGGCATTCAAGTCTTCATGAAATATATATTCATTTTAAATAACGAACAATTTTTAAATTTGTTGTGGTGTTACGAACGGAGCTCTCGGTAAGCGATTGCGGAGCACTGGTTGGGAACCGCTGGTGTAGAGCATTGCTATAGATCATTTCGATGGTAGGCGTGGAATTGATTGTTGACCCAGTGATATTTAAACGGGAAGGGGAAGGGGTACAATTTTTCCTACCCGGTAAAATATTATCTGCCTATCCTAGTGAGTATTTGTCCTGTCAAATGTCATAGGAGTTAATTTTCACGATTACACCGGCAATTCTCAACAATTTTTTTTTTTTGGGATGAAATTTTGAGAACATATTATTCGTATTGTTAACTGTATAGTTAAAAAACACATCATATTATTATATTGTTTACATTTTGATCATCATTATACAGACTGCAACCCGGCGCAGTTATGGCTGTTGTCGAGGCACGGTACACGAAATCCCGCTAATGCAATTATCGACAAAATCGCCAAGTTAAACGAGTACAAATACAAAATTACCGAAAATTCAAGCCTGAGCAAAGACGAAATCGAAGCGATACATACGTGGCAGTTAAATTTGACCCAGACAGACAGCAACGAGCTCAATAGTCAGGGCGTTGAAGACATGTCATCTCTGGGACTGAGACTTCAGCAATCGTACGCGGAAATATTCAACGAACCATATAACAGTGGAAACTTCGAAGTAACTGCAGCACAGTAGTAAGCCTATATTAAAGTGCTAATGACATTTTATTGTTTTACGCAGGTGTTGTCGTCGCCAAAGTCACGGTGTGTGAACAGCGCATATAACTTTTTGAAATCCGCCTTTAATATAAATATCACAAACATACCGATAATCAGTGGTGACGATATAAAACTAAACGTAACTATATATTATGAATTTAAGGCCCAGATAGATTTAATTGTTTTAAAAACTACCTATACATTTTAGTGAAATTATACTCATAAAAAAATAACCAAAAATAGTGAAAAACAACTACGGTACAAGATGAAAGTTTCACTTTTGAAGTATCTGTTTCACAAATCAAATTATACAGGGTTTAACTGGATTATTTGTCAAATAATACTGTATGTACATGTTCAATACCCACTGTTGTAGGTGAAAAGTTGAGAAAGAAGAGGGGAAATTTAATGTATATCTGTTGGAAACGATTAACCATTGCTAACGAAAAATTATTTTGAGCAGCGTTTGGTTATACATATTTTGAAAGGCCGTAGGTAATATTTACAATTTGAAAATAATAAATTTCGTAAATTTTACCGTTTTTCCTACGGCTCTTCCAAGTTTTTCCTATTTTTTATGAAAACCCCTGGGAAAATTAAAAAATAACCACTTTAACCTTTACACCTGTCCAATTTAACTTCAAACAAAGTACTACATTTAAAAATCGGAGCGACATTTTTGATAAAGAGTTGTTCATAGAAAAAAAAAATAAACACCATTTTAAAACCAATAAATTACCTTTATTATCAATACCTTCCTTGCTCCGCTCAGAATCAAAAATGATCCTGTCATTGCACCAACTAGAAACGATTATAAAAACACATACTTTACAGTAGACTCGAAAAGAAATGTATATGTAAGCAAAAACTTAGCTTGCAGTAATGTAAGTAATGTAATAAATTTTTTTTAAAAATTATTAGACACTGAATTATGTTCAAAAATTGGTATAAAATAAACATATGTACGTTGAGTTCAATTACTACAAGGGACGCTAATTTTTTTTAAGTCTTATAGTCCCTCTTCTTTTATTTTTCCAATTCAAGTACTGAAAATAACGAAATGTGAGATTTTTACAAACAAATAACTGTTGCATTTGTTTTATTTTTATAACTACACAGATGTCAAAATTTAGATCAAGTAGGGACGAAGACGATACGATCGGCGGCAGCAATATGGACGAGCGATACGGATACTTGGAGGAATTACGAAAATTTCAACACGGCGAAGAAATGCAACGGGTACTACTCGGCGTGTCAAAAACAATGGGGTTGAACTATACGCTATCTTTAGGTAGGTATACAGGGTGATTTTTTTTTATCATGAACCAGCAATTATCTCGGAGTGTTTAAGTGAATTTGATTTCGGTTTTTACTAATCATTATGGAATCGTTTAATTTGTATTTTTAAATTATTTTCAATTGTGTACCCCTACTCAATAAACCTTCAATATGTACATGCTTTTGATTTTTAAATAAGATCCCCCTCCTTTTGAACAAATATTTGAAGAGAGAATATTTTTTTGAAAATTTCGAAATTTATTACTTTTCCTTATTCCTCCGGTCTATGCTTTAAACTGTTATAACTAATAAACGGAAATCTGATATTACTATTATGCATATCAAAATTTCTAGAAAAATATTCACTATTCAAATATGTGTGCAAAGGGGGTTCCTATTTGAAAATCAAAAGTATGTACTTATTTAAGGTTTATGAAGTGGGGGTGAAATTTTAAAATGGTTTTAAAATAAAGCTTAAACAATTTCATAATGATTAAAAAAACCAAAAATTAAATTCACTTAAAAAACTGCGAGATAATTGTTGGTTCGTGATAAAAAAAATCAGTCTGTATATTTTAAAATCGTATTCATATTTTATATACGGTATTATACGATATAGACACTGTATTGGTAATGTACGAGTCGTGCCGATACGAAAAATCGTGGCACGTGCGTTCCCATCCGGCGTGGTGCGCGGTATTCTCCCAGGACGATTTGGATGTAAGAAAAATTACTTTAATAAAAACTACGATCCGTAGCGATTATTTTATGTTATACAGTGTTCGAAGTTATCTAGATAACTATTTATTCGTCTTTTATCTTATCTAGATAAATAATTTGAAGCTATCTAAATACATTTTCTCAGGCAAATATTTCATTTTTTAGATAATTTATTCAAATTATTGTCGAACTTTCCCCGAAAATAGAATCTATTGCACTGTATTATGTCTGTTACGATCAAAGTGTTTATTTGGGTTTCGTACTACAAAACACAGTATAATAATAAACGATAATAAACAATAATCATAATAAAAATCAATCAAACCTTTCAAACCCTTTTTCAGGTATTTTTTTTATGTTTGAATTTCATGTTTCGACAAAAAATACCGAGTTTTAAATGCTCGTACGATTAAAATGTTTTAACTCTGAAAATTATTTTAGTTAAAATATAGGCAAAAAGTGAAATATTCTTGCAGCGATAAGTCGGATGAGATAAAATACGATACTATACTACTATAGTGACGGAGCTTTCCTAATCAAATTTTTTTTTTTTGTTTTACGAGCAATTTAAAATAACCAGCATTATTGTCTAAACGAAAATATTTTTATTTTTATTCTCTATTAAAAATATTAATAATATTATCAATTATAAATAATATAGATACGTGTTAATAAATAAGTTATGCTGTTAAATTAAATTTATTTCAAGCTTTTATAACTTTGGCAGTTTTTCGTTTATTCTTTAGTAATACTAATCACTTTGCTTCACTTCAGTGATTCTATACTGTAGTCAAGCTAAATGTGCCTACTACAAGAACAAGATTTAAAATAAACAAGTTTGTTAGTCAAGGTTAAATTAAAGTTAGTTTAATTTTAACTTTTAATCGAGATAATATGAAAGAAAATTAAACTAACTTTTAATTTACGTTATTTTTTTTTATCGAGTTTGAAAATCCATAAACTTACCCAGTCAACCTCAGCTTTGCTTTTGTAACATGAAAAAACAATACATTTATCTGAATACAAATGTATTATAAATACATTATCTTTTATCTTTATCTAAACAAATTCGATTTCTTTTTAAATCTTTTATCTTCGCCTAGATACGTTTTCATGAATTTTAAACGTTATCTTTATCTAGATATTTGTATAGTTATCTAATCCGAACACTGCGTATAAACGTGTATTATAATTATCTATTGCGTGTGTGTGTGTGTATGCAATTCTGTAGGTTTTGGAGTACAGAGAAGATTTACACTATTATTATTCGACTGGATACGGCGACTCGTTTAATGAACGTCTCGGTTGTCCGGTCATAAAGGATCTCGTGGCCAAATTTAGGTAAGTGCCTACTTATATAAACCGCGGGTCAATCAGAATTTAAATTTTCTTTCAATATAAATATTAAATATAATATGATATACTATATCCTAGTACTTAGTTTAGTTTAAATTCTTCTAGCTTGTAAAACCAATCGCTCCGCTTAGAATCCAAAATAATATTATAAAATACATTGATTTCGTTAGTCGTCTGTATATTATTACTTAGATACAAATCCCGAACGCGTCTCGGCCCAAAAGGTGTGTTCTATTTTGCCCATTCATCCAACATACTGGGCGCCATCGTTCGGCTGGGCTTTGCCAGAGACCTCTGGAATCTGACCAGCGATAACTACGACAAATTGCGTGGCCGTCAGTGGAGGACGTCGTACCTGAGCCCGTTCGCGTCCAACCTAATGGTCGTGCTCTATGAGTGTCTGGACGGCTATAAAGTGACGTTTTACGTCAACGGTAACCCGGCGGTCGTCGAGCAATATGGGTGTACCCTGTGCCCGTGGCAGGTGATCAGCAACATGCTCGATCCGATCGTGTCCAGTCCATCGTGCACGTTCCAAGAGACCTCGCGAGCAGTTTCGGCGGTCATCCCGAAAGTAATTGCTGTTATCGTAGCGCCGGTCATCGTTCTCGTTCGTTCGTTATTTTTATAACAGTGACAGGGGCGATACGAACCCCCCTCCAAAAAAAAACCCCCAGAAACAACCTATAATTTACCCGGCAGTACCCGCCCACCAATAATTTCCATCACTCGCAATATATATGTCAAATTCACTTACTTTTACTAAATTAACAGTAAACGTTGAGTACTACTATTTAGTATTATTATTATTTTTAAAAAATCGAGAAGCCACCACTACTTTACTAAATTACCAATTACTAAAGAATACTGTAATTTACGGTGTAAATTTAAGTGTATTATTAACACTTACGATGAATTATGATATAGAAGACAATATTCCCGAGGCTCGTAGATGCAATTTTCGATGCGATGGTGTAGTTATAATTTTATCCCGGGGAAGAGGACGGATAGTCTGTAAGGTAAACGTCATCTGAACCCTCCCCCCCCCATAAATGTAACGAATTACTATTACTACGAAATTTCCCGATTTTTTCCCGCATCCAATTTCACGCAGTATCTGCCTTAAAATATGTGGATTTTTTGAAGATACAGTTGTAAAAAACACGAATTTGACTCATACTACTCAATCAATGGCGTTCTGGAATATAACTGCAAGCTAAATCTTAAAAACAATGGTATTTTATAAAAATTACAATTTAAAATGTATTTATCGATAAAATCCATTTGTCTTTCGTGTTTCACAAATTAATTTATAACGTTGTCATAGAATTCTGGATTATTTTTTTCTTCAAGCAAGAATTCTTTTTTTTTTTAATTAATATTAATACTTTATTTATACAAAATACTCAAGGTTACATTTTTGTCGTGTAAATAGTTCATTAACTAATGAAATATAATTAATATATAAACAAATGAATTTCACGTAGACGAATAAATGTTTGTATTACAAAAAAAAAAACATTTTCACTATACCACTGAGATGAATTTGTTTAGTGACGCCACTCGGATACTATATATGCGTGTTTAGCGATAGCGGTTTTTTTCAACAGTTACTACTATAAAACAAAAAATAATAATAATTACGACTAAAATAACAATAGTGACAAACGCGAACCGACGGGAACGGAAACAAGAACTCAAAGTTACGCCCAAAGGTATGAAAACAATAGTACCGAAGTGTAAAAAGTACATCACTGTTATATTAATAATTTATATTATTTCACTCATGAACACAATATCGTTATTGACGTTACTGTCATTATTGACGTCGTTCACTTCACGACCGTAGGTATAATATTACGATATTACAATATTATATTATTATGGACATACCTGCCGAATAATAGACGCGTTTTCGCGGTGTTAACAACCCGAAACAATATTGTTAACAATTTTACCGGGTATCGTTTTGACGCCAGTGTTTACACAACAATATGCGTTAACCGAAACAATTAAAATATACAAACGTTACAATGTGTACCATGATCGCTGTTATCAATAATAATAATTGACAACCGCGAGAATAAACCGAATAGCGGTAACGCGGCGCAACAACAGTTTTCGACAAGAATATCGTAACGAAACAAAATACAATTGTTGTTTATAGAACCATTTGTTGCGTCTCAAAATAATTATCATAATAATACGTATAATATATAATAATAATAATGTATATATATATATATATACGAGGGCTAATCAAAAAGTATCAAGACTGGTAGTATCATTCGGTAAAGGAGCATCGAAAAGCAGTAGGATTGGTATCACTTGCTCCTATAACTTTTTCTGAGTACATTTGTTTTTATTGCTTCTCTATAAAATCCTTCGGTTTGATTTCACTGATATTTTTCGAGTTTGGCGATTTTGTAATAAACNGGTTTTTGCCATTAAATGTCAATTGAAAAACTGAAAATGTGCCCTCGAGTGGCAGCAAGTCCCGCTTCTTTTGGATTCATTACGAAATCGCCAAACGTGAAAAACAAATTTTAGAAAAATATCGTCAAATCAAAACGAAGAAGTTTATAGAGATTTTATACGAATAGATGTGCTCAGTATAAGTCATAGAAGCTAGGTTTACAAATCATTTTGCTCTTCAACGCTCGGTTTCCGAGCAATATTATCAGTCTCGATACTTTTTGATTAGCCCTCGTATATATATAATATTTACACTATATACAATATGAAATATGAACTACCGATAGGTAATTATTATTTGTAATAATACTAATTATAATAGGTAATATTTGTATTTACATATTACATTTTTTATAGTAATGATATTTTAATGCCTAATAATAATAATAGTTTATTAATAACAATTATAATAATGAAAAAATAAAAAAAATGACTTCCTTAAAGTACCAACTAAACAATTTTCGGAATATTGGATCCGAAATCCCAATTTTTCAGATTTTGAAATCCGGATTTTCGAGATTTCGGATAATCCAGCTTTATATTCCATCAATACTATGGCTATAGTTATAGTAAGTTATAGTAACACTAGCTTTGTGTAAACAGAACTAGCTTCATTTTTAAGCATAAAGAAGTTAGTATAAGCACTCTATATTCACTAAGCTACCATCTCGAGCCAAGTTAATTTATAATAGGATGGGGTTCTATTTTTTGAGGTACTTTAGCTAATAACTCCCATTTTAGTATCAATTTGTTGTATTTTTAACCATACAAGATTAGGTTTTGAAGAGAAGAACCATATAGGTTATTCAAATTGTTTGATTCACTTATATCTCATTGCTGCAACATTGACCCGTCGCCCATGCTTCTTATTAGAAATCGATGAAACTAATGTTAATATTGTCGTATATCTAGCCATCAATAATAATAATACCATATTCTCAAAATATTTGAATATATCATAATATTATTTTACACGGTCGTCACCGTCGCCAGCATTAATATTATTATGTTAAAATATATTATTATAGGTATGTCTACTCGGAAAATTATGTTACGCGGTCGTCGGCCGTAACAGGAGCAGTGCGCTACTGTCACGGGCTGATACGTTTATTTTATAAAAATGTTTGAAAAAATTAATTAAAATATTATTAAAATAATCACTCTTTTCTGGGGCTTCAGTTAGATATTGACTGGCATCGAAAATTACTGCTGTCATTTAGCATCGGAGATTGGAGGAGGTATTTTGCTGTTAGAACATCGCGGCGCACGAGTAATATTCCCTTGGCCGTCCGGTAAGTAAAGCTATTCGCCGAAGATTTCAGGGTACGTTTTATGATTACTGTCGTATGTGCCCGAAGAAGAACCTTTGATATACGACAATATTTAGCAAGAACTATCAAGTTTGGTTTCGACATTTTAAAATAATTAGTTTCGCATAGGCGATAAAAATAAAGATAGAGGACCAACTTCATGTAGATTATCCATTTTGACCTAAAGGGTTGAAATTGATTTCGTTAGATTCCTTTCATCTAACCCATTTTTAGTATTCAATTTAAAGCGAGTTAGAATAGATCAATATTAGTAATATTATATAAATGTAAATGAGGAACCTAAGAATACTGCAGGAAGATGCTCAGATTGACATAGCGTATAATAGAGAAGAATAGAGAAAGTTTGTAATGGCGGCGTACTAGTATTTTATAATATTGCCCATTATTTCTTTTTTCTTTTTCATGAATATTGATTATGATAATAAGATGAAATGTTTTTAACAATTGTGCTGATTGGCACCAGCCCGATAATTTCTACCCACATCGTTGTAAATGGTGATTTTTGATGTCTTATAGTTAGAAAATAAAAAAGTATAAAATAATAACGTCAACGCGAATAATATAATAGATACGTTGTATATTATTCTGTAGATCGATTATGGAGTACGAATAAGTATTTCGACACTCGAATTGACGCACTTGTCACGCGTCTGCGGATCTAAAGTTCTAACGAAATAACGGAAAAGTCGTCGAAATGTTTACAAAACGTGTTGCATAGTAACCGTGTGCGATATTAATCGGCTGCAGTTAGTTTGGAAATCGGTTAAAATGGATTTAAGGAAACTCGGCTAATTCTTCTACTAAAATTGTCAAAATAGCCATTTTGTAAAAGATATTATTTTAATATTTTAATCATTAAATACATTCATATCCGATTAATTGTTACTTAGTTATAGCCGTGTAATTTTGAAAATATGTGTGAATACAATTAATACATGCAATAATAAAATTTAAGGAATTACCATGCTGATTATGATTCCTTATCAGTTAAAGTTTTGTTCTATTGAAAATCAATTGCTTTGAATAAATTAAAAGTTTTTTTTTTTAGAGATTAAGAGATAAAAATAAAATTTTAATATTTACCCTTCAAAGAGAAACAAATTAGAAATCAATTTTAAGTAAATACATTTTTATTAGTTCAAGACAAATCCGTCAACACGGTGGAACACTTTGTGTTATATAGGTATGGTACTGGTTGATATATTATACAAACCAATTCAACGCATCACCACGGAGTTTTAGACAATTTAAAAACAATTTTTTTCGTTTTGACTATACGGAGTAATCAATCTGTCATAAGATACTCATTATCGATAAATTGAATATATGCTCTTATATGCTGTCTGGAATCCGGCCGACCGTTGGCTACCTTCTCGTAACCGTATTGTCGGCCATCTCCGAGTGTCGATACCGGGACCAAGACGTTTGGCCGCCCGACCCCCGGTCCGAAGGTCTAGGTCGAATGCTTTTTTCCAAGATAAAATCCCAATTCGGCCATGCGGACTGTCGGCCACTGGCTGGTTCCTAAAAGATACCGACAGAAGCGTCATTCGGTAGCCAGATGCTAACACTGCCGTAGCGCAGCCAAATTTCAACTCGGCTGTTTTCTCTCCAGTGAAACATATTCGCACCGAAGACACCGCCACTGTCGTGTGGATCGTTCGCGGGAAAAAAAACCGAAACCCTCTTATAACACCTAAATGTACAGGTATATTATTTAAAATTATAATATTACTAGACGCCCAATAATCACGGACGGTGTAACGTTGATAAAACATAATCCGTTCTGGATTCTAATTCGATCTTAATTCGTGATTCGCAATCGTAACGGACATAACAATCAGCTCTGGAC